TCTTCCTTTTGGCACAGTGTTGTTGAACTCCAGCAAAACAATAGCACTATTGCTCATATGGACTTAAAACCGTTTTAAATGCTAAATAATGCAACTTTACTGGATTAAAAAGGTGATAAATCATGATTAAGATTCATTGATTAAGTGCAGTTTCAATAATTACCCATTTTAAAGCCTTCTCTTTACAACCAAATTGTGTATATATGGTTGTAAACACACATAGTGTAATGCCAAGTAAGCTGGTGTGGGTTAAATTTATTCAAAACAAAATGAGTTATTTTATATAATTATGCTGTTTAAGGATCTCCTGTAGTAAAAGATTAAGTCAGAAATTGAGATTTTAACTCCCTAAAGAATAAAACACAGACAAATTAACGGAACATATCTCATCATTTTTCATCAAAGATCAGTGAACTACTCTGCAAACATGAACTACAACCTAAAAGACAAAAGAGCTGCATGTTGCTCAGACAGGAAAAGTGTGTCCAGGGGACACTAAAATCTTGTGTTTGATGAGGGTGGGATACCACTGCTGTTGCCATGGTTGCAGCTTGTGAAGACTTCAGAGATAGAAACCTGTAAGTCGGTTTGGAAAATAACATTTTACTTCTTTTTCAATTCTCTCAACATCTGAATTCTATAATTCAGATATCTTTAAAATATGTCCTTAAAACTCTTAGAAGTATTTAGCTAATATCAGCATGCCAACACAGCTTTGCTGACAAAGTGCTTGCTCTTCATGACAACTCTTAAGCAACAACCACCATAGTTCAGTGTGAGGCTTAAAGCTAGCCATCACTTGCCTCAAAATGAACTCTGACTGAATTATGTGTTCACCGCCTTTAATCAAAGCGGCACTCACAAAGAAAATGCAGTTATTTCACAGTTGTTACTATGTGTGGTGCATCCCTTAGAGACTTTCCCAGCATGCTCAGTGCTTACAGCTGACCTCCAGTGCAGCCTGGTGCAGAGGGAGTCTGCCTGCATGCAACACCTCCTCAGGAGTACTACATGTATGAGGTAATTGTTGTTTGGTCATGTGAGCTGCTGCAGCAGCTGTCAAATGTGATGATAGCAGGAAAATCCAGGGGCCCGCCCCCTGCAGCTGATTGGGCAGCTCAATGCCATCTAGGGACCATCAGCCAATAGAATGATTTAGAGTTCCGTTTCAACAGGGGAAAAGAAAGATGGGTGAGAGAGAAACTGAACATCAGTACAGTAAGAATCTGTGCAGTTTTCAAATGATGAGCTCTACACCCCAGCAGAAATGCAACTGCATGAGAATATAAAATATGTTAACAATTATTGGAGGGATTTGATTCAAGTTAAGCATGTCTGTACTATCTGTTTTCATGTGTCATTTAACTTTGATTTATTATTGTCTAATTTTTACTGTAAGAAGCGATTAGCTATTTAACTGTGATTATTCTTATCAAGTTTAGAGGAATGTGTAACATGATGCAAGTAGTCATTAGTGATACTCCTTTGACAGCTGAATGCTACAGACTGATATGGGATCAGATCTTTAATATCTGGGTCTTCTAAGACATTTTTTTTTGTCTTACAAGACAGTGAAGTTGCAAATGATTTAATCATTTTTTGAGGTGTAAACTGACAATATTCAAAGTCACATTTTTTAAGTGTTCGCATCAAAAACTGCTCACAAAAGAAGTCATGGTTTTAATGAACAAAAGTTAGGAGGAGTGGATTTAATTGTGATAAATTTATTCCCAGATCTAGTTATTTTGCTGAGATACTGTATGAGAGTAAGAAGTTAAAGATGCTGATGCTACAGGAAATATCAAGAGAAAACTAAGCGCAAAACTGCATTTTTGTGTATTTCTGCATTCAAATCGCTGTAAATCTCTGGCAAACCTAAACAGCAGGCTCAGACACAGGAGAGGTTTCTTTATCACAAGTACAAGTCCACCCCTGGCTACCTTCACTGCAGGCCCGATCCCGAGAAGTAGAGAGGATGATGGCGGAACAAGTGTATGCAGTAGCGGATTGCAATGCTTGTAAAAAGAAAAAAGCTAATTATGATATTAACTTTCATCATGCCCCCCGGAGACATTAGTGTTTGAGAGCTGAATAGCTCCTATGTCACCTGCCACTTCTGCTGCAACGGCAGTGTTAGGCTACAAGGAAGCGTGAAGAGAAGGGTGCAGAGCAGCACTGTCTCTGCCGACGACTGGGAGGTGAATTGCTCTAGTTTCTGGAGCTCTGCAGAACTTAAAACTTCTAAAAACTTCATAATCACAATTTTAAAAGAACACTAAAAATAGCTGAAAAAAAGGATTGTAGTAGGACTTAAAAAGAGATATTAGAGCCAAGGCATGTGCAGAAGCAATTTTTCTTATAGGGCAGTGCAATTGATGTACAAATCTTTTATGATTTAATTTTGTGACAGAAGCACAAAACAAGCCCCCCCCCCCCAAAAAAAAAAACAAGCAAAACAGATTTGAGGTGCAGTATAGTCTTCTAGTTTAACCCATGGCACTTTCTGTAGTACAGGAGAAGGCCGGCTTTATGACAAATGCTGCCACCAGCCACCAGAGGGAGCTCAAAAATATTTTGGCAAAGCCCTAACTATTTTGGCTTTGCTTTGGGGTAGCTGCTATGTTGTCCATCTTTATATGTAAAATATAATGAAAACAGAGAGTTTGATAATGCATGTAAGTACATCCTTAAAAAAGAATTTAAATCTAAGGTTTTCAAATATAAAGGATTTTTGTCAATTCATCCAACAGAGAATACAAAAGTTTGAAGTAATAAACAAACAGAAAAGTGCAAAGTTTCAAGACAGTATCAGAGGTCAATGAAAACCTGACCCCTGTACAGTATCATACAGTGACATTTTTCCTTGAGAACCTCCTGAAGTTTTTAGTATTGACTTAATGGTCATTGGTCCTATCGAGCAGAGAGAACAGGAGACAACAAAATGATCTCTGTACACGCCCCGGTGAGAGTTTGTGCATTTATAAAGATGTTTATGAGTGCACTTATTTGAGCAGACAGAAACACCTGGCCGTCACTGAGGTCACATCTTTCTTCTCCCCCATTTCATAAACACACTGCCTCTGTGGAGTCGCCATCTGCAGTTTCTCCCCAGTCCCATCTCAAATAACCATCCATCCTACACACACACACACACACACACACGTACATGCACCCAACACATGCACATATCTCTTCATCGTGTTGGCCACAGAGTCATGTGATCGGCAGACAGACTTCCCTAAAATAAGCAGCTGAATGTTTATGATCGTCAGACTTCAGTTTCAGGTCAGAGTCTAAACAAACATGGAGGAGTTCTCTTACATGTTCAGCTGTGAGGACTAATGCATGTCTAGACCGAATGAAAACACTGAAATACAGTCAAATTCTCTATTTAGGGACTGAATGAAACTAACAGTGGACTTATGATGACATTGTGGTTGTGTCTGTACTGTGGATGATCTAGAGGGGAAACTTTGCCAAACTTTTAAAAGAAAACCAAATCTAAAAATGATTTACTCGAAGGAAAGTTAAAGTTCTACTTTGTTGTTCTAATCAAAAGAGGTAAAAGTACTTTATACCCTCAAACCCCACAAAAATTGTAAAAGTACGTTCTCCAAAAGAAGTTGTTGTAATGTTACCAAAAGCATAAATGTGTAGTTTAACTCTGAAGCCCATTCAAAGTGAAGTTGCTGAATATTTTTGCTGCATTTTTTGTATAAACTGCAGTTGGCAGATCGCCCCTGCATACTCAAGTCAAGGCTGGCTGTGCAGAGGCTCTCAGTATGAGTCAGAAATAAAGATATTATTCACTGCACTGAGTAAACATGGCCGTCAGTGCAGCAAGAAAAGAAAAAAGGCTTATAGATTTCTTGAAACACAATGTAATCCATAAGTCAAAGAACTATCAAGACAAGTCTGGCTTGAAATATCAAAACAATTTTTACATTTTGACTTGTCAGATCAGAGACGCTTATATTACAGGGATAGTGTAAAATTAAGTTAGGGTGATACACACCATAACACTGAGTTAGACACCCCGTCGAGAGATGAATGTTGCTGACCACTAGCTTCTCTAGTAATACCAACTTTAGTAACGACTGTGGATAGCAATACAGAGACTCAACCAAAAAGCCACTCTATAGCCACAAATAATGCTCAGAACAGCACCTAACTTCATCAACAGTACATATAGGGTCCTATCTATATTACTAGTCACCAAACATCTTTTTAACTTTGGCTAATTTCTCTAGCAAAGAGACTAAACACAACTCACCCAATTTCCTCCAGCAGCCACTTGTTTGTACAGAGACCTCCAAGCGAGTCCATTGACTACAGCGGGGTGACACAGCTCAAGGAAGAACATTTATGATAATTTCTTCATGGAAATGGAATCAGACCGAGACGCTAAGGCAAAGAAACCAGGCAAAGCTAAAAAGATGTTTGGTGGCTACTATGGCTGGGACCCTATGTGTGCTGTTGATGAAGTTAGGTGCTGTTCGGGGTGACAGGGTGTCTAATTCAGTGTCACGGTGTGTTTTGACCCTAACCTAATTTTACGCTGGAATATCCCTTTAAGTGTGGTAAGACATTTGACTGGAAATAAGAGTCTTTCACTGGGTTGTATTGTAGTTGTTTTGCAGTGCAGACACCATCCAATCAGTTGTTTTTTTGCAGATGATGGTAAACTTGTGTGTTTTCACAAATTGTTATTGAGTAAGTTGATGCTTTGGAAACTGAAGCAAGTGTCCTGATTTTAAAAATCTTAGAGAAATCAAGAGCACAAAAAGCTGCTCACAAGTTACTTCCTACTCCTGGCTCTGTGCTATAATTAAACGTAACTAATACAATGTAAAGTTTATTATTTGCACTGTAGGTTACTATGCATGAACCCAGATCATTTCAGTGATGTAATTCCTTTGGACCACTCATTCCCAGCAGGCGGAGTGCACTTTATCCGGAGCCCCTTGCCTTAAGACCCAAGCTCCGCCCCTCCAGCGAGCGCACCCACCTTGTCTAGCAGCGGCTCAGTGCGCCAGGCACGAGCTCAGCCGAGGAGCTCACCGGGGAGTGGGTACGACGGACAGAGGGCACGAGGCTGGGCTGCAGCGGTGGACTTTTCTTATCTAAGGGGATACTGGACTAAGAGCACTGAGCTCATAGGGTTCGCATTGACGGCCGTGGAGTAACAAGCCCGTTCAGATCTGAGAGAGTTCCGTAGCCAGCTGTGAGGAGGAGCGGTGAAAGATGCAACTCCTCTCCGGCACGGAGCGCTGCGCCGTCCGCCTCCTCCGCTGGTGATGCCTGCCGCGCGGGATCACCGCCCAGCAGCAGCAGCAGCAGCAGCAGCAGCAGCAGGAACACGAGGAGGAGGAGGAGGAGGCGCAGAGGGAGGAGGTCAGGATTACAGGGCATCGGGGGGCCGGTGATGATGACGGTAAGGTCGGGATCATGGCTAACGGAACCGGTACTATCATGTTAAAATGCGTCGTGGTGGGAGACGGAGCGGTGGGAAAAACGTGTCTACTGATGAGCTACGCGAACGACGCGTTTCCGGAGGAGTACGTCCCTACAGTCTTCGACCATTATGCAGGTATGAGCAACAATGTTCTTCTGAGTGTGCATTCATTAAATTACACTATTCACTATTTCTGTGTGTGTGTGTGTGTGTGTGTGTGTGTGTGTGTGTGTGTGTGTGTGTGTGTGTGATCATAAAAATGTCTCAGATTCAATTAAGAGTCAACTCCCTGCTCCCCACCGCTCCCCTCCTCTCCTTGCATTGGCTGCATCTGTTGCTATAATCAAAACCACTTGTTTGCCTTCTTCATAGCAGAGAGGGGTTGGGGACCCCCCCACCCACCCCCTTCCTCCTTATCCCCCTCCCACCTTCCTCCTCCTCTTCCTCCTCTCACTGCTCTTTGTCATCTCGTTGCAGTGAGTGTCAGTGTCGGGGGGAAGCAGTACTTGCTGGGACTGTACGACACAGCTGGTCAGGTACAGTTTATTTTTTCCTCAGGCTGGGAGCCAAGCATGTCAAGGACTCTCTCTCTCTCTCTCTCACACACACATACACACACATGCACACATGCCCTGTATGTCTGCATCACTCACCCATGTGCTGCAGAGGCTGATAACTGTCCTCCAGCCGCCCACAGGCTTCATTTTCAGGCCAGACTCTAAGCTGCAACAGGTGACGGCTCTCTGTTTACTGCAGTGTGTGTTTATGTGTGTGTGTGTGTGTGTGTGTGTGTGTGGACAGTGGTGGTGGTATGTGTGTGTTGTAGGAGTCAATAGTTGTATTATGTGGAGAACAGGCCTCCTATGTGCAGCAGTGATGTCACAGGTTGGTTTTATAGGGCTGCCAATGCTGCACTTTTTCTTCCTACAATGTGCCATTCAGCTGGCAGTAGTAAAAACTGTACCCACCCGCCACCCCAATACACACATAAAACACTGTCTCATTGTGAACATCATCTGAAAAAACTATCTACAAAACTACTTATGGACTCAAGTCTCAAGTAAATTGCCAAATGCACAAAATAAATTCATGTTGAAGAGACTTGATCGATAAGTACATATTGAATCCAAATGTTGGTTACTGATCTCATGAACTAAATGGATAATTAGTTTAGTCTTGAGACCCTGAGGTGGTATGTGGTGGTCAACTTGCCGTCTTTTAGGGTCTAAAGTTTGCATATTTTGAAGATTGGTCAGGTATTTACAGGTTGTAAATAAAATATCAAACTCAGTATAGTTTCGATCAATAGTAAACTGAGAAAAACAGAACCAAAACTGTTTCTTTCTCTCTCTTTTTGCTGTGAAGTTGGACACTTTAACATGAGATAGGCTGGAGACTGGTTCACTTTAGGATTCAGCCTCAAGTGGACATTTGAGGAACTGCAGTTTTTAGCGCTTAAGTTTTGGCCTTCTTTATTAGCCTCTTGAGGTTTGCTGCTTGTATTTACCAAACAATATAGACTCTAATGTGCCTGTTTGATGCTTAGGCTACTTTAAGTGGGAGGAGTTTTCATGTTAGACCAAAACCCGCAATCACAATCGTTTTCCAGATGAGTGCTTGAGCGTTGTTTGAGAACTATAGACACTTATGCGCCACACTTGTAATTGGAAACACACACCACATGTTAAGGTATTAGTGTTGTTTGACATAAGAATCTTTGCAATAGACATTTAGTATGTTTAAATGCACTAGCAATACTCCAACTTAAAATGGATTTATCGCATCATGTAAACGCATCAGTTCGACTGAAATCGAACTAATCCAGATATGTTAGTCGGACTAACATAACTGGATAACGCCATTGGAGACAAATTTTCTCTTGCAAGAATTGAACTCAGACTGGCCCAAGTCTTCTGTGCACATCAGGCCCCGAGCCGGTCTTTAAATAGCAGGGATGCGTTGCTAGAAAGCTGGGATAGTAAACAAAACCTTGACAAATGAAGAAAAGATGGAAAAAATACATAACTTCTCCAACAAACAGCACCAAGCTGTAAAAGTAATATCCCTGTAGCCTCTTGCTAATGAGTTTTGCTGGCTGTTTTGATATACAACTTGTCAACTGGGAGACGACCTGGTAGAAATGAGCTGAAAGGGGGATTCGCCACGTATCATAGCAGAGGCGGACATGTTTCTGTCAGTAAGTCAGTCTTTGCCAAGTGCATATAAACTGGGACAAGAACAGCAGTCCAGTCAAATCGCCTAATCGAGCTATGAGCGTAGCTCGACTTAACTGCATGTAAACATAGTGAGTGTCAAATGTGGAATTTCCTCCACAACGGCTGCTGGCATGGACAAAAAGGTCAGAAGGGTCTGTCATCAGTTATTCCTTTTAAGTTAACTGCATTATGTTTAAGCTGACAGATTGTTTTCCTGCAGACAAGAGTCACATGACTGGGTCTTAATTGCTGTGAAAACTTAAGATTTCAAACTGAAACAGCCTTTCAGGACAAGGACTCTGATGAAGACACTAAAAAAGGTCAGTCGGTATAATAAGGACCCTATATGTAAATGTGGTCAAAGTTTAGCTTTAATTTTAAACAAATTCATAAGAAATTAGTGCAGACACGATTTTGCTTATTGAATTGTTTCCAGGGATGTGACAATGAAAAGAAACTCTGAGTCTAAATACAGCCTTTGTTTTCACACTAAACTACACAGCGCCCCTTTAGATTTGACTGACTGTTTTACTGCACAGTACAGACGTGACAACAGCCGTACACTCATTCTCTGCACCAACACCTTTAACCCCACGTCTTCGCCGAAACCTGATCCTGCGCACATGTCAGATGCAGAATGGTTAACACTTTCCTCTGGGACAGATTTAACTGTGTGAAGTCACAATCTGAAATCTGATCCCTCCATCGGTGACACGAAAACCCGGCACTGAAATGTTAACGTGGGAATATTCAGCTGTTACTCTGCTCTGTTCATTCATGAATGCCAAATGCTGAGGTCCATAAATAAGGAATCACAGGCAGCCACCCAAACAGCTACCTGTGGCTGCGATACATCTTCTGTGGAAAACAGATGGTGGAAGTGTTACTACATGTAGTGAAAAGAGGAACACAAGCTTATTGTCTATTCTGGCATGGTTGATACACTCTGTGTGTGTATGTGTATGTGCGTGTGTGTGTGTTTAGCTGATTCAGAGCGTCTCTGAAATGGAGAAGTTCTCCCAGATGTCTGCCATGGGTGCAGAGTAGAGTTACTGCTCTTCAAAACGAAGCCCCCCACCCTCCTTTACCCACTACCCCCTCCTCTGCTGACCTCTTTCTTTGGAGCATGAGGCCAGCTGGAAATATTTAGGACGTCAGGATCTGATCAAAGACTCGCACCCTGAAGATACAGAGAGAAGGAGAAGGAGAGAGAGTTAAAGGAAGACAGAAAGAGGAAGAGAGAGAGACAGATTTGGGGGGAGGATAAAAACAGTCTTCTGTTTCTGTTTCTCTTTTAGGCTTTAGTCTTTAATTTAAAACCACATGAAACTCACCTCTGGCCTACACTGTACAGGTTTACATGTTGGGGAAAAAAGCATTTAAGGTCCATATGGAGATGATGTATCAAAAAGTATTTTCAAAAAATTGCTCTTTTATTATGTATAATATCTAGGTGTAACTACAAATACACAATTTTTGTACCAAAAAGAGAAAACAAAGTGTCTCAGACGTTTAAAAGTTTTGGGTGAAATTGATGTCATTAAACTTTTGGTTGTCCCATCCCCAATCATTCATAATTATCTGAAGAAATACACCCATGAATCGGATTAAGTAGAGAATGGTCAATATTTACCCTATTAAAACACTTCTGCAAATAATCTGCAAAGTTGTCTGTAGCTGATGTTTCTCGGTTGTGAATCATTGATTGAATTCTGGCAAGTTAGTAGTCCTAACTGCTGATTCACAGAAAAGGATTTCGTTTGCCTGTGGGACAAACTTTCATTTGTTTTCACGTTGAAGCGCGAAAAAAGTGTCGGAGTATTACACCATCTCAGAGAAAGCAAATTGCAGGACATTACCATTATAGGGTTAAAAGTGCTATAGGTGCTATAGGTGCTACTACTGTTGGATGAATCAACATTGGTGTGCTGTTTTGATTGAGTGGCCACCTCTACATCACAAGGCTGAATTCAAAGATGATCGTACCCCCTACTGCAGCGCTCCTATCTGCGATGGCTTAAGTTTATTCATACAGGAGGTTGCAATGTTGTAAATGCTGGAATTCATCCAAAAATTTTGAAATCTTATTTCCTTCTAAATCAACAACTTTGGCCTATCACTGTTTAAATTTTTTTTGCAATTTTGCAAATACATCATGTACTTCTTCAGTCTTCTTTGGTATGTAAAATACTGATTACAAGTCAGTGTTTATGTTGAATTAACCTTAGAAAGTTGGCGGTGTCTTTAATATCTGCGAAATTTGGTATGCTAGAGACCCAGTTTTTCCTTTTTTTTACAGTGGTTACAGTGTGATCTGCTCTCTTTGATTGGCGACAGAGCTCAGTCAAAATGAGTGTTTTTAAGGACTCAGCAGTGATTTGATATCTATCTGTTACTTAATCTGTGTTCCAGTTACCTCGGGAGTCATGTGTCGGAGCTGGCAATGACGTTACACCCCAGTTGAAGGCATTCCGGTTAACAAGTCAGAAAACCAAGATGGACGCCTTCAGTTACCCGTTGTCAGTTGTCGTTAGCTGTTGTCAGCTGTTGTTAGCTGTTGTCAGCAGTCATTAGTTGTTGTTAGCTTTATCAGTTGTAAACAACGCATAGAACAGTATTTTACTCTTACAAACACCATAGCACTGTGTTCACAGTTAGACGTTGGGCAGTACAACATATACCACTTATTTAATTTCAAACAAAAGAAAGTGCTAATAAATAATACATTACAAGAGCTTTCACTGTTACTCTTTACTGTCAATGCACTGCGCTGCCATCTTGGATTATGATGTTGTTATCGGGTTGGGGTTGGTGAGGATCGTCTGACTTTCTGAGTTGGAAATCCAAATTCAGGGGGGGTGTTTCAGATGAATTTCTGACTCAGAGCTTGGAAATTCTGACTTTCGAGTACAACTGGAATGCAGCATTCGTTTCCGCTTCTTGAAGTTCATCCCTGTTTTCCTGTTTGAAACTACTTAACTCTATCTGTGCCTTGTGTTGAGCGTATTGACCAATCAGAAGCTGTTAGTATCTTTCCACCAACCAGGGGCTTTGTTACAAAAGCGAAGTGCTTACAGGTAATTGAGTAATCTTCCTACCTCTTACTTACGGTATCTTGCTGCTGTAGCACCTTAAATTTTTGAAAAAATTAATAAATATGTGTTAAATTCTTTTTCATGCACATTGGCTCTACTTCCATGACTATGTAGCTTTTACTTTAGCTGAGTTAATTCAATCATAAACACATTTAATTTCCAACTAATCCTTCATAGGAAAAGTACCCAGTTAACATGTTGATGAAATACTTCTATTATGGAACAGCTGTGTCAAGAAATGGGGTTTTTCAGTTGCAGTAACTTAACGGAACTCCCCAAACAGTAAAATAAGGCAGATATCTAAAAATACAAAGAGGGATGCAGAAGAGAAACAAAACTTCAAACCACACAGATCCAGTTCGAAGCTGCAGCGTGTGGTGATCTCACGTCTCATGGTCTGGTCTTATGCTCAGACATGGGCTGATTGTGGCAATAATGCATCTGTTTTGATATGACGGTAAACAGCGAAACATGTTCTGTGACTTGAATTTAGATCATGATGCTCGTCATGGATAGTGTTGTATGTTGCTGTGTAGCTCTAGCTCATTCAGTTTTGACAAGACTTAATGGGTGTCTTGACACAACAACAAACCAGAAGAGGTGCCAGGAAAAAAATAGCTCACTTAGGCAATCGATGATTTTATAAGGGTCATATTTTTTCTTATTTGCTGTTGAATGTCTTATTTACTTAAAAAAAAGACAATGAACCCGTCAGTTAGATCAAACTTTTGAGGCCAGAAGAATAACAGATTTTTCCTGGAGGAGCAGTGGTGTGTCTTTGGAAGCATAACTAAAAGGAAACCATGAGGAACAGTTTATTTCTTTGATTTACAGTTTTATTCTCTGAGAGGTATCAAAATATGTCTTTGTATTTGTACTGCTGACAAAATTCAAGAGAGGGATGAACAATTAGAGACAGTCTAAAGAGTGTTTTTGTTGTCAGAGACACAATAAGAGCTTGACATTGAGCTGCAGTGCAGTGCCTGTTGTTTTTGTGTCCCTCTGACTGCTATTTCCTGCACACTTCCATGCTGCTCTCCCCTGCTGTTTGTTGAATTATTCCATATGAAGGTCTGAGGAGAATTTTTTAATGTCTTGTTGTGAGGAAGAAACCGGGGGAAGAGTCTTTACTTATTCATTTGTTCTCCTGCTGTTACTGCTTTAGTATCGCAGCCCGAATATAAGCAGGAGGAAACAGGAAGTGGATGTTAAGTGCTGTTGTAACCATGGAAACACTTCAGTACTTCAGTAGAGGGGAACACAGTAGTTGTGACTATGTGGGACGGACGTGCACGTTTCCCCCCTCACTGTCGTTCCCTCATCTCAACTTCTCAGCTGATGTGACACTCAGCTGCATTTGCTGTTAAAAAACACTTCTCACCTGTTACCCCCCCTCACACAGTCTGATGAGTCTTTTTAGAGCCAGCAGCCAAAAGTGGCCAGCTGACCCTTCGGACAAGGGAGGAAGGCAGGTGAGAAAGGAGGGGGGGGGGGGGTTCCTGTCACTGCTCAGCTGCTCCAACACAGAGGGACAGGAACTCTGCAGACACACTTCAGCTCACGCTTTGAGCTTTTAGCACTCAAGTCAGCTTGAGTATCAAAAAAATGTGTTATTTAAAGGGGAACTTAAGTACTTTTCATCCTTGGCCCTATTTTCACATGTGTTTGTGTGTGCTTGACTGATAGGGAGAACAATTTCTGAAATTGGTCCAGTATTGAGGGAGAGTGGAGCAGCAGGCAGCTGCTAAACGAACTAAACCATAGTTTGAACAGGAAATTGTGTATCATTAAACTGTTTCCACGACAAGTGCTGTATTTCAGCCCCCACTGGCTCAGATTATTATAACAGGTCCTCTGACATGGTCACACAGCATTGTGTGTCCAATGCTAGGCATCAACAGATCCCACTCATCACAACACAGACAGTCTCCCTCTGTGGGCATAGGATCACAGCACTCAAGGACACATCATCAGTCTCCCAAACTTTGTGGCCTTACACGCCCTCCTCTGCCTGTGGGCCGTCTTTCTCTTTAATCAACTTGTAGGAGCTCTTTATTGGTATACTCTGGCTCAAATAAATACTGTGTGCCATTGTGTTCAAAGACTTCATCCTCACTTTTAAAAATCAATCACAATTTCATCCATAATGCAAGAATTGCTTCTTCAGACCTCTGGATAGTGAGTTTCTGTCTAGTGAGGTCAGCAGAAGCCACGATCAGCTGATTGTCTGAAAATTCATCCCAAAAAATCCAAGAAACAATCATCAGCCTTCCTATGATTTACTTCAAATGGACTAATGGACATTCAGAATTGAATTGAACACATTTTAATAGTGTTGTCACTCAATTAAATAATGTCATTTAATACATGAAAGGCTCTGTAATTACTTAGAGAAAAACTGATTCCATCTGTGGACAACTTTGGTGAAGAGTGCAGGTAATCTTACTCAGTCTGCATTTACCCATTTGAAGGTGGTAACGATAGACTGTATATAGAATGGTTGCTTCAAATCCATATACTGGCGAATGGCAGAACCAAGTTGTCCAAAGTATATTCAGTCTATTGTGGTAACACGGTAATTTCTCTTTATATTACTCTATCCTTTACGCTATTCAACTGTTCATTCACAGGCTACTTTAGTATCTTAGTCAACATTTTGACAGTAATTTTCACAGCAGGTGGAGGAGGATTGTCATTATTCATGCTGTGTATTCAAACCACACAAAAAGTGCCACAGAAGGACATTAGCACATTCAAAAATAGTCAAGCACTTTTAAAGGAAAGGTCACACCTTGGTTTATGCAGTTGTGATAAACCAAAAGTGTATGTGTCTATGACTTCACAGAGCATGTGTTTGCAGAGATACTTCACAAAGCCAAACTGACATTGATAAAATGCACCGTCAAACTCATGTAGCAGTCAACACTGAGAAACAGCCCTTAATTCCTCATACGCCATCAGCTCACTGAAGCCTTCCCTGTCCACAAAAATGAATAGGCATGTCTTCAGTCACAATTTTAATTGTAAGCAGGATAATAAATGCTTTTAGGATACTATAGTCTCCTGAGTATAATGGATATGAAAAGTGTGCAAAGTGAGAGTAGAGCACTTCAAATAACACATATGGTTTATCTTCCCCTATACTTGGTTTATCATCGCTTTTGTTCTTGTGCTTGGGAGGAAAAAAAAAACAACTTCTGTCAGCCTTTTCCTTTGAGTATGAGTACTAAACAGAGCCCATTAAAATGACGATGATAAAAGGCCTTCATTCATATAGTACCATACACAGTTTATGTGCCACTGCCATTACCAGCCATTACAGGCTTCATTAAACTGTCTGATTTTCGAATGGAGTCTGGCAGGATGTCCTCACTCTGTATGCCTGAAAAGACAGAGTGCATCAGGCTTTGATTAACGGTCATTAATCACTGTTAAAGGACCAGGAGAGTAAAAAGCCCCTTTATTCCTGAGGTCAAATCCAGGTCCATGAAAAGTGCAGACTCAGATCAGAGGCCGACCTCTGTGAGGATGTCGGGGCTTGTTTTCCAGCCTGGTGGCCATGTTGCAGCGAGCGTCTGTGACTCTGTTGACACAGCCGGTTTATCGAGCCCCAAGGAGGCGAGAAGAAGATGACTCAAAGGGAGAGAGTGAGAGGGGGAGGAGAGGGAGTGACTCACTGATATCATTGCACTCATATGTCACAGAGTCAACACAGCCACAGACACTCAGCAGAGCTCATCCAGGAGGCTGGGTGGAGACGCAGAGTCTGGCCTTGATGGAAACCTATGGACATGTATGAACAGTAGATGAACTGCTCTGCTGTCCTCTGATCATATTTACTGCACACAGTTCACTGTACTGTCATGAGCTGAGCGGGTGAGCGAACAAACCAAACCAGTGCAACATGAAGGAAACTACACCCTGAATCAGATCTGAGGTTGGGGTGAGAGAAAAAAATCGATACAGTGTAGTATTGCGACATTTCGTCTGGTGATATATCGTATCTCTCATTTACCAAGTATCGATTCTTCAAATTAATTGCTAATATGAGGTCAAATCTATGATAATGGAAAAATAAAATCAACTGTTTGTCCAGTGAGGTTGGCATAGGTGACATCATAGAGCAGGAGAAAGTTAGTAGAACAAATGTAATGTACATAAAGTTTGCAAGATGTACAACATGAAAATCAAATACTGTGTAAATAAGACAAACAAAGGAAAGAAAATTACTAAATTAGCTAAACAGCTGAAAAAATTGTATAAACTGCAATATATTGTATCGCAATACTCACTGCATTGCAAAATGTAATATCGCACTATGGCCCAGGTATCGCAATAAAATCGTATTATGGCCCAGGTATCGCAATAAAATCGTATTATGGCCCAGGTATCGTGATAATATCGTACTATGGCCTCATAATATTTTCATTTAAAGTCTTAAGTTTGTTGATTAAAATGATTTTTAACTAAATAATAATATCTTATATGATTGTATCTCAAGTATCTCGATAACATATACTGTAGTGTTTGTCTTGTCATGATGGTGTCTAAATATGTATTCAAATTATACAGATAATTTTTTTAAGTGATCGTAGTAGTATTGAATCATATTTTGAGTATCTTAGAGTACTGTGTCAAATTCAGTTTGATAGTGTCTTATTGTTTTATACCTCAAGTACCAAGTTGATAATTATTACAGAGTATTACAGAAGTGTTAATATATGCTGGGGTCTATAAACTCTGTTTTGATTTACTCTCCTTCCTGTAAGCATTGTATTAGTTTGTATATGACGAAGAGGGTGTTTTTGTGACAGTCACAGTAATAATGGTGTATTTGTAAGAAACAACTTTTTGCTGCAGTCTCATACATATTTTGTATTTGTGCAGAAGTTTCACACTTACAAACCTGTAGGACATGCAGCATACCTCCACTGCAGAATGGGTGTGAACATTTCTGCACCAAGAGCAGATCAGACTTGAAACTGAGTGCTCACTCTGTCTGTGTCTATATATTTACACTGTGAAAGAGCAGCAGGCGTACTGTCTTCTTTGGTAATGTTTTGGAAGTGTTCAGAGGAAAACAGAGCTGTGTCTCAGAGAAGCTCCGGGCATGTTTACAGTAAACTGCTGACCGTCTAACACTGTGTGTCTTTATGTCTGCTGCTCAGCAGGGATGGCAGGATTTACTTGTGCAAGCAAAGGTCACAAGCGCAGAGACACACAGACATACAGTGTACTTGACCCTATGTGACAGAAATAGAGTGCTTGTAGAAGGAGAACACATGATATATGCGCTGCTATCTCTTCTTTAGGAGAGCGTAAATGTAGCATCAGTGAGGATAATAAAAGTGTCTACTCACATATGCGCGTACTAACTGCATTTTATCAGCTGAAAGTCATGAACTGCTAAAGTGAGAAAGTTCTTCTCTGGAGGGACAGCTAACATCAATCCTCCTTACCCTTTTGCTTAGACCATCACAAACATCAAACTTTGATAGTAAATTGGGTTTGGTGAGCAGAGACTCAGATAGCTGCTGACTAATGCCTACATGTAAAAAAAAAGAAGAGGTGAAGATGTTTTTTAATATTTGTTAAAAACTACAACAGGTCTAGAAAGCGTTCTCCTGATTAAGTGTCTGGGTTTGCATGGAGCACCATATGGTTTTCATTCAAAACTGATTTATCCCATCAGCAAATTCAGATCATGTGAGGTAACCTGTCATTCATAGTTCAGTTATATAAATAACTGTCAGCACACTCAGTCTTCCTATGAAGAGTCCAAGTCTAAAAACAGAAACCAAGCAATCTTTGAAATTTGTTCTGTTTAAAACAGTGAAGTAACATCCGTAAACCTCAGCATTTCGCTCATTTGACTCTGAGATTTCTATCAACTTTTCATAGCTGATTCAAATTCATTCTGAGCAAAGCATTAGTTCAGGCAGGCCACAGAGTCACGCCCAGCCAACAGTACATCAGCTAACACCAGCCTGTATCGGCTGACAGCTCAGCCAGTTACCTTCATCACATTCAGTTGTCAAACGTAAAAATAGGCACTCTGCCTGCACTTCCTGTCCTGCTTCCTCCATAAGCCACTTAGCAACAGGCCTTCACCCCAGCTCCTCTTTTTATGCTGTCAGATTTTACCGGTGTCATTCTGTTCCTGGGGGGGTCTTTGCTGCTGTTCTCCCCACCTTGGCTTTTCATGCATGCACTTGAAATGAAGTGGGTGTGCTCTTCCCGCCATAGGCTTTGGCATTCTATGTATGCGAGTGGGACCATACTGACTTATTGCTTGCAAATAATGGATTCTTCTTGATGAAAGGAGTCCTGACTGAACTCCAGCTCATTACACAACAGAAGATGGTGCAGGGTGATTTACTGCTGGATGATCTCCTGACTTTCAGCAAGTTTACATTTCCTTCATTAAATTTGTGAGAGACAGACTTAAAGTATGATCTACTTGAGCTCATACTCATATATTTGTCACCCACTAAAGTCGCTAGTAAGAATAAATATCATGCAAGCTTCTGAAAGTGTCTCTGTTACTGCAGGACATTAGAAGCATGTGATTTGTTTGATTTCAGGGATGTGGACAATACGTGTCTTTGTCAAGTACTATGAGTTACTCTGTTAGAGTCATGTCTAATCGCTGGAGATCCATTGACTGCCTGTGTCTTTGAGCTAGCAGCAGAAAACCGTCCCATCAGGAGCCGAAGGGAGATGGTTTATGAATATTCATGTGTGTGAGTTGGACACTCTGTCAAAAGGGTTTATCTCTGCAGAGGACAAAGAGAGCCTGATCTGACACACAGAGGACGCCCTAGCGTCTGAGAATTAGCTGTTTAGGCGACACAAATATCTGAGTTGGCAGGGTGTCTGGGTTTCAGTATCTTGTGGCAACGCCTTGTGCAAATGTAAACGAATATGTAATTGTATGTGTCAGACAGAGAAGAAACCACTCTAAGTTGTGGATCTTTTTCTCTACACTTTTTCTTTTCATTTCTCATTTCTTGTTATGAATATTATAAGTATTCAACTCTGGAAAAAAATGTCAGTGGTTTTCAACTTTAGCCCCAATTTTCAACATGTTGTGGAGTTAAATGGCATAGTCTTTCCTTCAAATCACTGTATATACACTAATATATCCAAAGTCAACATGTGGTTAAAAAAAAAAAAAAGCAACTTGGTCAGAGACAAAACCAAGCAACTTAACGTGGACAGAATTTATATGAAGCATTTCCCCCGGGAATGAAGCTGCAGCCATCAGAGCCTGTTTCACTGCTGAGTGTTAAAGCAATCTTGGGCATCACCAAGGGTCCCATAGTTTAGTTTCTTCATTGTTGGTGTCAGACACACACACTAACCAACTCTGTTATAAAGGTTGCATAGACTTGACAAGCTGAACTGTGGGTGGTATAGTTGTAAGTTGTAACCTAAAAAGCTCCTGAAGTTAATGATGTTTTATACTCAGAACATAACTATCCATAGATAGATAGATAGATAGATAGATAGATAGATAGATACATACATACATACATACATACATACATAACTATCCATAGATAGATAGATAGATAGATAGATAGATAGATACATACATACATACATACATACACAAGGTATCTAGTATAACAACATTTGCACAATATGGAGAATTTTGCTTTTTGGGACTTAAGGGTCTCTGTAGTTATTCAGACATGGAAACATACAGTACATGGACAACTACACTATAAAGATCCAAGAAGTAGTCTGCCCTGGTGTGACTTTTTCATACAGCTGTTGTTTGAAGAATGTGAGACAGCAGTTTCAAGTCATCTGTTGCATCATGATCTCTTATAGTGTTATAAAAAAAAAAACACTGCCTGTGATGCCCATGCACCCCAAGTGAAAGCGAACACATTCTGCTATACTCAAACCTTGCTCAACTTTAAAGCTCTTGTTAGCCACTTAATCATCTTATCTCATAGTATGTAAAATTACACCTTAGGTTAAAAAATGCCTGAATTCCTTATTTATTGTCCCACATCATTAATAAGAAACACTGACAGAACTGTACAACATAACGTTAGCTCTCCGGCCTGCTGTGAGGAGTGAAGGAGCTCTATGTTTAGCGCTCATATTTTACACACTTCAATAATTCATGAACAATAAGACCAAGGAAATGAATAATGTCCCCTTCCTGCCATCCTGACCTCCTGTCCTCCTCTGACCCTGAATGTCTCTGTCCCATCTCCTTCTAGGAGGACTATGACCGCCTCAGACCATTGTCCTACCCCATGACTGACGTCTTCCTCATCTGCTTCTCGGTGGTGAACCCTGCCAGTTTTCAGAATGTGCGTGAAGAGTGGGTGCCAGAGCTGCAGGAGTACGCACCCAGTGTCCCCTACCTGCTCATAGGCACTCAGGTGAGGAAACATTGCCAACATTTGTCATATTTGTAGCTCTGCTATTTCCGTTTACAAAAACTCACCTTCAGATTCTTGGAAAAAACAAATGCCATTTTGCTGTTTCATGTTTACAAAGTTGTGTCTGTTTAAGAACCCTAAGAGAAGGTTTGACTCATTCATAATCCAATAAGTCTGACAGCAAACACTTCATTGACTCATCTGGTTCAAACTGCTTACTCACTCAGGCCCTTTCTTTGAATATTCTGCAGCTCAATGCCTGTCAGCCTCAACGCTTCAAGCATAGTGATCCTGATAGTGCCTGCTTACTGTAATTATTATTTTACACTAGCTGTAAATCATAATCCCCTTATCATAATGCTCTGTCATATTTTACAAAACTAAAACTCTGAGATTTTTTGTAACACACAAGCTTTAGAGCATGTGCCTGTTTGTTTTACTACTTAACTGAACATTTATATTTTATGACTGTTCTTTTAATGGTTTACATTCAATGTTGTAATCTATGATCTACTGGAAGTGGCTTATACTTCAAAATAAAAGCATAGTTTGACAACGGTGGAAGTGAAGCAACCTAAACACAAGAAGAAAATATCAAATTAAAAGCATGTAAACAATTGTTTAATGATAATAATAATAATAATAATAATGCATCAAATTTTATAGCGCGTCTCATCAGTGACCTCAAAGCATCGTTCATTCGCTCACACAGTCACACCCTGGTGGGGATAAACTGCTTTAGTGGTCAAAGCTGCCCTGGGGCAGACTGACAGAAACATGGCTGCCAATTTGCGCCCACAGCCTCTCTGACCACCACCACACATCACTCACAATCATACACCAGCGGAGGACACACACTGGGAGCAAGGTGGGTTAAGTGTCTTGCCCAAGGACACAACGAACAGACTAGCGATAGGAGGAAATCTAAGTGCCAACCTCCCAGTCATTGGACGACCCCCTGAGCTACTGCCGTTTTTTATTGTTTTCTTGAAAGAAGTTGCACAGCCAGTGATATGGATAATTCATAAATCTAAACATCATTGGAAACGGATGATAACTTGTAAGTTGACTGTGTTCATTTGTAAGATTTATAGAGGTGTAATATTGATAAGCTTAAATGTTATTCTGCTTCACCCTTGTCTTGCTTTTTTACAGTTTTACTGACTGTCGTTTTTGAATTTCAGGTTTTCTGTAAATATCGCAATGATATTACTATCATGACATTTCATTGCCGCAATAACAGTAAAGTGCAAATGTGATAAGATGGCTATAGTTTGGACATTTGTCTCTACTAGTAACAATAAAATGTATGCCTTCATATGGTGCACTCAAGCAAAGACACAACTCAAAGATACTTATAAGTTCATAGCTGTAGGTGATACATACTAAAATACTGATAGCCTTTTATAAGCCTTTGTTTACATTTACATTTTCCACTGGTAAGATTTACAGTAAGTAATATAGTTGACTATCTAAATACAGATTTTTTTAATGGAAAACACAAAAATCTGCAAAGAAAAAAGACATTTTCATCCACAGGGGGCGCCAAATTCAACACAAACTAGTTTTCTTACTGGGTATAGTTGTAAACCAGCCAAATTTGACAAATGGTTTGGTGTGTACTTTTCTCTCATGAATAAAAACACATTTGACTCGGGAGTTACGTCAGAAGTCTTAACAACTTATTTTTAGCCTCAAACTGATCCCTGCCCTAAAGTTAACAAACAAATCAGAAGTTAAAACCAACAATGAACTCATTCAGAGAAGCTAAAGCTGCACTTATGTCCTGTAATCTTCACTAAACTCATGTAGATTTTAAAATATGACATTAATCCTGAGTGTTAGATCATTTCTTAAGCTTTAAAACCCTCTGAAAATATCATTCGTCCTCTGAGTAGAGAGCACTGACTTGTGGGTGATTTTTTTTTTTTTTGGTCTGTGTTCCCTGGCAACCAAATGCCAGAGCAGCGAGGCCCTGCGGTGATGAAGAGGAGGATGAAGTGGGTGTCTGATTTATCTGCTGTCAGCTGATGTTTACTGAGCTTCTCCCAGTCTCTCTCTCTCTTTAATGCTTGCCTGGGTGCTCACATGTACACACCACAGTACCAAAGTACCACAACACACACACACACCAATCAGGAGAAGGTTAATGAAGGTTGCTCCCTGTGAGGTTGTGAAGATGGAGGTTTCATCTATTGTAATTTGTTCTTATTCAGACCAGGATGAGCTGTGTGTGTGTACTGTGAGTGTTGTAACGAATAAAGGGAAAGTGAGGAACTTTGAGGTCGGCTGTGAAATGTCTTTTCACAACAGCAGGAAGTGTGACAACAGTGTGTCAAAATGTGAAAACAGACAGTTGTGCAGTCAATGATGTTTAGGAAGATGGTGTGGTGACACGTAATTTATGGTGCAAGAATCATAGACATCAACCACCAACTGTTACAAAACAAAATGTTGAATTTCCCTGACGGACAACGTTCATTATGTACAGGAGTAAACAATTATGTTGCTGGTGTCACATTAGATAAAACACCTGTTTTAATTAATTGATTTTAGTGGCCATCTTGAGAATAAAAGAGCGATACAGATGGTCAGTCAAATAAAAAACATCTGCGAAAAATCTGCTTAAGCCAAAAGTCATTCTACCCTTAGTCAAAAGGCTGTAAATAAAAAGTTACTCAAAGAACTTTATGAGGAGTTGAGCAATGCCAGAATCCACCAAACCATTAATCAAATGTAAAATGTCAAGAGGCGTGCAGTGACAGGATAGGAGGAGGCGCAATGTGTAGCTTAGATCTAACCTTCAATAATTCAACCCAAATGAACCAAAGAAGTCTATTCTTTTACTCTGGAAAGTGCACATTACCATTCCACTGATCATTGACTGCTGCTACATGAGGTGGGTGCGATTACCACAGACTGTATAAAACATGGCTGTAGCCGTGGATGTGACATCAACCTCTGGTTTTTGGGTTGATGTCTCTGGGGTTTAGTGGTGTTGTGAATCTGAATCATAGTGGTCTCCACGCTGGAATTGCTGACTCAAACCAATCAGGAAGTCCTTTCAGCCAAGAAGTAGTGCATAGGTTAGCATTCTGGCAAACACCTACTATACACTCGTATGCCAGTGAATTTAATCGAGACCATGACCTTATTGTGTGAATCCCTACTCAGGTCTTAGGCTTCATATCTTCAGAACAAATGAGTAATGAAAATGTTTGATTGCTGCACAGTGTGTACAGTTAAAGCAATAACATATTCTAACCATAAGCCAAGCATCAAGCTGTTATCATGTAACTTTAACTTAGCCTTAAATTAGGCATTTTAACATCGGTGTTAATGGGATTTCTTCGTCTTTTGTGGCCAGTCTCAAGTGGACACTCAAGGAACTGCAGCTATTAGCACTTTGACGATGGCTGTGTCCAAAATGGATCCCTAACCCCTATATAGGCGACTATATGGGGATTAGCGCCATTTTGAGGGGTGTTGGAAACCTGAGTGATCAATTCCAATGCCCCATATAGGCGACTCAAAATTTCCCATAGAGCATTGCAAAATGTAGTGACCATCTGATGGTCACCACCCAAACCAGTGGTAGGCATCCCGTCATGCATGGCACCTCCAGCGGCAACGTCACAACAGTAGTGTCCGAAACCTCTGGTGATTGAGCTCACTACATAGTCAGCTATATAGTGAAACCCCATATGGGGGATAGGGGTTAGTGGTTGAGTGATTCATTTCCGACACAGCCATTGGCTTTATTTTTTGACACCAGATGTTGTCATTTGGATATTACCCGTCATTTATGTATTCCTATGATAGAGTGTCCCTCAACCAATCAAAAACAGAACCAACTAACACGAACTTAAAAGAATAACACAGTGTCAGAGTGGGATTACAGTAAACTTTACATTTACATTTTCAGGGCACAGGAGTAAGACAAAAAAATGTCCCTGTCTTTCAGATTGATCTTCGTGATGACCCAAAGACCATCGCCAAACTGAACGACATGAAGGAGAAGCCCATCGCCACAGAGCAGGGGCAGAAACTAGCTAAAGAGGTTTGTACATCTGTCCTCCAGAAACAGTGAAGTCATGTGTAGCTCATCGTTTTGTTTTCATGAAAAGTTCCTGTCAGATTCCTGTGTGTTAATCAGATGCAGGAATGTCTCCGTAGGAATGTCATTTCTTCAGAAAAATGTCTGGAATCAAACCACGGCACTATTTTTTTGCCTCCAAATGAGTCCAGGGATGTTTGAGGTCAACATGGCCATCCAGCAGTGCCCGCGCCTGCAGGACGCACAAACCACATGTGGTCTGAATTTAATCGTTCCTGTCAGGCCTAAACAAAGAATAAAGGTCAACTGTTCAAAAGGATGACAGTCTACACTCATCTGTGGGGTTTTATTCAGTTATGAAGATATTCAGAAGGATGTCTTTAGCATGGGGTCAGGAGGTTCATGGACGCCACAAGGATCCATTTAAGATAACTTCATGATATTTAAATTTTATGTAATCAGAGCCACTTTCTTTGAATCAGAGCAGAATTTTCTCTTACACAGAAAAACATGGTGACAATTCTCTGTGACCTGGAAGCTAAAATACCTTTAAAAACACTTTCAAGGACTGATAGGCTTTTTTTTAATGCAAAGATGCTTTAAAATTACAGTTAATCTGCTGTAAGTGTAGTCTACTGCATGACAACCAATGTAATCTCACTGGAGATATTTATTTTCTTCAACAACAGGGAGACATAAATTCTGTACAATACAATGTCCCACCTACAGAGCATTTACACAACCTCTTCCTCTTTTTAAAGGGCACCTGTCCAGAGTTGAGTCATACTTAAGCTGCAGTTAGTTTTCTCTATATCCTTTAACATTTTTCTGACCATCCGATAAAAAGTCAAAACAGCTGTTAGCTACACCGAACCTACATTCAAGTTTGATTCAGAGCCTTAGTAAACATTTTTCTAAAAAGTTCATGGTCTCAATCTATTAAGTTATGATTAAACAGCTTCTTATTTGAATCTGAATTTTGCATGTCCTAAAACAGGCTTTAAAAGAACTAAGTTGTTGAAAAATAAAGCGTGTGCACCAGAGTCTCTCAAACACGGCATTTTTTCATTTTTCCCCCATCCCCACCCTGTTTTAGATTCTGTTGTTTAATCAGGCGGTAAAAGGCGACTTCTAATTCAGATTATATGGAAACATTTTTCTAAAAAGTTCAAGGTATCAATCTATTAAGTTATGATTAATACAATATGATGCCCATTGTGTAAGTTATGATCACAGTTAGAGTGAAGCAGGGGGTCATTTAGGGCTGAGCTATCTGTTGTAGACAAGCTGCTACCAGTTCAACCGAAAAATGCTTTATTCAACATGTAATTATACCTAAGACTCGTACCCCAGGCCAAGCTGATATTGCTGTAGTCACATTGATAACCATGCTTACCTTAGCAAATGCAGATGTCAGTGTTCAATAACCCATCACTCCTCCTCATCTCTGTCCTCTAACAAGGCCAGTGGTACCTTGATATGATCACTTCTTGCTCCCAAAACTGCCAAACTCAAGGTTTTCAAACAGCTGACTACAAACCAGTAAATGATGTCAGGGAGATCTCCTCTTCTTTAGTTTTGGTAGGTCTTGTGCATGAAACAGACCAGGGACTTAAAGTAAGAGAGAAAGCAGTTTACACCCAATGGTGCAGAAATATTCAGTAACTTTTTTCCTTTACTGAAATTGAAGAACCTGCACAAAAATGCCCACAAAGGACTTTTATTTTCATTGTTAGACCTGAAATCTACATGAAACTTGCATCCATGCAATCCATGTGATTAAACCTCTATTATGCATTGTCTTCTCCTTCAGATTGGTGCATGTTGCTACGTTGAATGTTCAGCTTTGACCCAGAAGGGCCTGAAGACAGTGTTTGACGAGGCCATCATCGCCATCCTAACTCCCAAGAAGAAAAAGGGAGCCCTGAAGAGAAGACTGGGACCTCGCTGCATCAACTGCTGTCTGATTACGTGATACATCAACAGAGGAGATCACTCAGCAGCCGACCGTAAACCAAACATTGACTGAAGGCAAGAGAAAATGCACAAGAGAGGACTGAAAAGGACAAAACAAGAGCCACTTAAATGCTGCAGCGCTCTTGAAAGACTGTAAATCTCTCTCTCTCCTGCTGTCCATCGGGGTCGGGGATGCAGTTTACTACCAAAGGAGCACAACACCCAAGTCAGTTTCTTCTTCAAAAAGACTTTCTGCCTCCAAAGTACCTTCTTTTCTAAACATTTTGAATCATGTTATTTGTGCAGTTGTCGTAAGCTGTCATACAAAATAAGACATTTCGGTTTAAAGAGAAATGTGACATTTTAAGGAGTTCTTCTTTTTAAAGACATAGTACTAGAGCCGATCAGGAACCTGCAGCTGATAAATAATGAGAGGCTGACTTTAGTGACACTGTGACAGTGAAAAAATATGTTTGTGGACATAAGGGCCCAATTATATCAGATGCCTCCAGCCCATAAAGGTCTGTCTCTGGTTATTTATCAGTTGATGATCTGCAAACTGAACCAAACAGGTGCTTTGCATTATGTGGGGGAAAAAAATGCTGTTCAGTCAGACCAATTTGGACCTATGACTGTATTATTTTAAAGTTTAAACGTCTTGTTTCTGCCTTACAAAATCCTGTTCTGTTACAGTGTGGCATGCCAAAACAGAATGCTGAAGTCTCAACAGGAAGAGAAGAGGTCTATAATCAATCTTTAAAAAAATATATTATACAGAGTTTATGATTCTATATCTCCAAGATAGAGTTGTTTTATTTAGCGCAAACATTATTTTGTCAACTTATAGCTTTTTTTCTTTTGATTATGTTATCCTGCAATGATGTGTTATACTTTGATCATCTACGAGGGTCTAATTAGGGGAGAAGAAGAAGAATTACAGACTCCGATATATATCTATCATCCAAAGAATCAAACGCTTTTCTTCAAATGCAGTTGGATTAAGCTGTGCTCAGACAAAAGTAAAGCTAATGTCTGCCATATAATAATACAGTTGTTTTGACCATGCAACCCTCCAGGTTTATTCATGATAATTCAACACTACCAGAAAAGATTCTTGCTTCCAGATGTGCCAGAAAACCAAACTCATCACGTCTGGATTCATAACATCACTTAGAGGTGAACACAGCTTGCTCAATTCCTGTATCTAGATTGGCAAAACAAATCTTCCTTGAAATATATGTATTCATAAGAGCTGGGCCAGATCTTGTTCACGCCACTGTGTCGGCTCCATCGTAGCATTGTGCAACCATTGCTTCTCTTTTTCCTGAGCACATCTTAAAGCGACCTAGTATTGTAAATCCAATGCACAACACAAAGCACAGTCAGAAAGGCATCATTTCCAGGCGCAGCAAAGCACATTCCCCTGCTTGTAACTCCATCTACTTACAGGAACTAAAGGCTGAGTGAAGCACAGAAAACAAACTATACCATCAGGCACAAACAGGAGTGAAGCACACCATCTGACCACGCACAACCCAACAGATCTCAATGAAGTATCTAAAGAGACATAATCTGTAGATCTAAAAACATGAAAACAAGATTTATTTTTTTTCTGTAATGGCAGCCAGAATGACTTTCAAACTATTCATATACTGTGGAAATACATTAGGTGCCAGTATCATGGAAGCCATGTTACCAAGGGCAACCAAGTGCATGTGGAGAGGTCAGGGTTGATGGATTTATTGATCAAGCACACTTTCATCCAGTAGGGCAGCATTTGTATCCTTTGTGAAACTGAAATTTTGACTCACTTTAACCTTGACTGTGATTTTATCCTGCATCAAACCTGCCTGTGTCCATCTCTGACATGTTCACACCCATATTTACAAAATCTTTTAGTGCAGGACTGGATTTCGGTTTCTGGAGTGATGAAATGGGTGATTGCAATCCGAGAGCATAATTGATAATATGGTGGGCACTTGTTGTATGTAAATTAATAACCAATAGGGAGAGCAGAAAAGGTGAGAGAGAGTAAAAAATGCACAAAAATACAAATCATTTGTCTGGGGCCTACCCTCTCACTGCAGTTACAGGCACTAAACATTACAACATAGAAAATGTCAGCCAAGAATTTTTGTGGTTAATCTGAGTCTGTTTCATAACTTCAAAAAATATCCTCACAGGAGCTTTAACTTTCTTTCACTCTTCATGGATAAAAATATACAACTAAATGCAACTGACTGATTCCAAAACACCAACTTCATCTGTCCCTCTCATGTTGCCAGTTCAGTGTGCAGAGGAGGGAGTCTTGGCTTTAATTTCCCCCTTTCTCCTAGAGGACATCAGATGACAGCTAGTTACTGACACACGGAGGAACCTACTGTTACATTCAGACAACCAATCAGGAGAAGATTATAGTTTAGGTGAAAAGAATTAGTTAAATTTCACAAACAGTTTCACACGGTACTGTTCCAAATGGCCATTGATGCCTCAAAGCTAAGATTGAGAATAACAAAACTGAAGCTGGAGTCTAAAAACTTCTTACCTTCACTTTAAAACTGAACAGATATCACTGAGAACATATAAAAGAGTCAAGATGAAACCTTGGTGATGGACTGAAGTTGATGCAATCCTGTCTGTGAGAGTCAACCACAAGTTTGAATCCAAATTCAGACAAGAAACTGAAGTATTCAAAGTCACAGCAGCCCAGATACCAGATGTAAAAAGATATAAGGTATACCGTTAAGAGTTCATCCTTTTGGTTTTGCGACACTATAAAAAAGATTATATGATGAGTTTCATTGATTTGTAATATCACAAAAAGAAACAGTAGACTCTATGTGAAGTTTCCCAGGGCTTAGAGAAGACTTGTAACAGAAAGTCCCTGAAATGTTTGTTTGCAACATTATTGCCTGTAGAACTGTAGATTAAAGTTGTTCTGAATTTTCCCTGTAAAGTCAAACATCTGAAACATCAGCTCTTCTTGTTTTTATGCACTTGTTCTTCTTTTATTATTATTATTATTATTTTAATTATTGTTAATCAACAGTGCCAACTCTTGAATGACCTGTGTAGAGTTTCTGTTGGAGTCCACTTGATTAAAGCTTTAATGTTCTCGGTGCTCCTCCTCTTCTGTCCCGGCCTGCCGTGTGATGGATCGCAGGCTCAACAGTTCTGCTTGCTATTGTTGTGTGAAGGTCCCGCTCAGGATCCAGGACCTCTAAGTGCCGACGCCTCCGATGCATTCTCCCATGATGCTCCTCTCCTCTCAATAAATGTGTTTACTGTGTTAATAAATCTGTCTCTGGGGGTTTAACTGTGAAACACATTTATGAAATTGACTGCAGGTTATCCCTGGAACTAATGACCATTATGAGTTGGGCCTCAGTGGGTTCATTTGATATTTAGGTCAACAGAATTCAAAACTGATTCGGGTTTATTTGGTTTGACACAAAACTAATTTGGAGTTAGAAATACTTCGTGTGGTTTGGGTGTATTTGACCAAATGAAAATCCTATAAGGGCCTGAACAATAATAATGTTATTCATTTACTTTAAAGGTAAGTATTCAGCCATGGTTTGTTGATCTACTGGACATGAGTGCCACCTACTGGCTGTGTGTGTGTGTGTGTGTGTGTGTGTGTGGGTTCTTGGTGAACCAGGACAAGCACAGTTTCCATATAAATAACATTAAATTAAAGTAACGAATTGTTGTTTTACTGTTTAAGAGTCTTAGAAGTGTATGTGTAGTCTAATCCCTGAGTTTGAAACCTCTCAATCTGAGTTAAAGAGGAGTTTCTCCTGCTAGTCTGAGGAAGTTAAAGATTCTTAACATTTAAAATTATACAGATTCATCTAGCTGGCATATAGGAGTTAAACATTTGTTAAATGATTATTAGCAGTAATTAAAGTAGGATTATGATTATTTTCAAGGTTAGCTGTCAATGCATCAAGAGGCTGCCAATATTTTAACAGGCTCTAAAATCATGATTCACCACTTGACCCTCCTGAGTTATTGTCCTGACCTTATATATCAACATTCTAAAATCAAGAATCAACTCTTTGGAGTTTCATTCATTTAAGAAGTTGCTGTCACAAAAAGAAATTTTAAAAAAGTAGCAACACCCCCATGATCAGATCCTAGACCCTGAGTCTGACAATAACACCGGCAAAGACTTAGATGGGCCTTAACTTGTTTGTAATATTAAACATATTTTAATAAGTGTATGTGTACTTCGTTGAAATAAAATAATGTCCAACAAATTATTTCAAGGGTGACCTACTGTACATTCTGCATTTTTTGACCAGGATCATGTTTTTCCCATGAAATAACTCTGTCTGAGGTGAATTATGAGAGGCACAGCAAATCCAAGTATCCAAAGATTTATGTAAAGCTGTAATCACACATACAATTAACTTCTGAACACTTCCCAAAACTTCAGTGTAAGAGAGATTTTCAAATTTTCTAGCTAAACTTTTCCCAGACATGATTCTAAAACTGGGTGAGCCTATGTTAGGGCGTCATGGGTACAAGCCAGGTCAAATTCAAAGTTTAGTCACTTCATAGCTGTTTCTGCTTACTGGAATCTTAATACTCTTTATATTTGTATATTTATATATTTGTAAGACCAGTTTTGCCTCAAAGGAATGAAACAAAAAAAGGAAAGACAACTAAAAACTAAAAAATGTATTGAAATTTTTATTATGCAAGCTAATGATAGATTTGATATTACAAAGTAGAAACAGACACAGAAAAGACAAAGAAGAAGACAAATGAGGAGATTTGCAGGTTTTGATTTGCTGACTGGGACCAGTATTTCAAAATGTTAGGTACAATGATGCAGATTTGCAACCTTTTGCCACAAGATGGCAAACTGACCTTTGTCAACACATGTTCACTGTTTGATGGTACATTCAAAGCACCAGTGTACTCCCAAAAACTCCCCTCCACCACCCCTCTGTCATCTAACTCCCCATAAAAACTGTTCTCTTAATTACCCACAAACTCCCCCTAACTCCCCTCTTCATCCTCCCCTTTCCAAAAATGAAACCCTACCCTTTCTACTCTTTGAAATGGCACCCCAACAAACTCCCCTCTTACTTCTCCCCAACTCCTACTTAAGTCCCCTCTCACTTTCACCTTACTATCACACAATACTTTTTCAACTCCCCGCAAACTCCACTCCAGCTTCCTGTTATTCGCACTTGACATCCACCAAACTCCTATCAAACACCACTCTAACTCACAACCAATTTTCACCCAACCCCCATCTGACACCTTTCCAACTCCCAACTAATCTCCTCCAACTTGCCACAGGTCCCCTTTTCACTTCTGCCTAATTTACTTACTAATTTAGGAACTTAATCCCACCTCCCTCCCTTCTAACTCCAGCCCATGTAGATCCCTTCATACTCCTCTCCTACCCTACAATCTTTCCTCTTACTCCCTTCTCTAACCCCTCTCTTACTCTCCTCATCCAACTCCCATCATAGTCCCGACAAGCTCCACCCTAGCTCCTAGCTGACGAACCTCCATGTCATTAGAGACTGATAAATGAGGTGCGAAGGATGCAATGAAGCATGCTCCAAAATTCATTAAATTTTGTACATGCATCAGGCAAGTGTGAAGTTTAGATATCTTCAGGGTCTTGTGCCAAAACTTTCCTCTAGCTCCCATACTCTAGACTCAACATGAAGTTGGCAATTTGGAGTTGATCGTCAAATTGGACCTTTTTTTTGGGTGATGGGTGTTTATTTTAACAATCTAATCCAAGGGGTTTAATTCAATGATCGCCACATATGTGCAGTGTATTGTGGACACTGGAACAATTAAAAGTAGTGAAAGTGTTAAGAGTCTAGGCCTGAACACATTCATGTGGCACTATTTCATCACAGTCATAGCGCCCCCTAATGGCAACAGAAAATGTCATCCTTTTACCCTACACCTAGTAAACATATCTCTGTGATTTTGTCAAAGGGTATGGTAATAGTTAAGAGCACAATAGTTGACTCTAAAGACCGTTTCTATAGTCATTTCTGATAGAGTGTCAAAATACATGTAGAGCCACCAAACATGTGACACTGAACCCTGCAGCAATGTCAAGTATGATGATGGTGCAGTTGGTGGGCATACATAGCTTTTTTTGGCTTATATAGCCGTGCCTACTTTCTGAAAAATTCAGCACTTGCAGCACACCGACCAGACTGAGAAAAGTGTGCTTTAATGGGCATATGCATCCTGCCTACACCTATGAAAAAGTCTCTTCGACCAACATCATAAAACCCCCATTATTAATTTTGGGTTAATTAGGCTTATTTTCTGCAAGTCCTTCCAGGATTACCTGCTGCTAGGGGAATAATCCAAAGCACTTTACCTTTGGTTCGTGGATAGGAGCAACCTCAACTGTAAAGAAACATTAACTTTAGGAAAAGGAAGTCATATAAGGCATAGCCATGTTGACTGTTAAAAATTCAACATCTGAAAAACTATTATCCCCCACCCCCCATTTTATTGAGAAATGTGGTTTATTTCTCCCTCTCTCTTTCTACAGCTGTGTTTTTTCTCAGTTCAATTGGCTGTAAAGAAGCCCAAACTCTACTTTGTAGGTCACACAGAGTATCAGACGCTTGCATTTGTAATTCCTCTATCAGGTATGTTCAGTGTCCACTTTGTACTAATTATCAGCAGCCCCTGAACAGCAAAAATTCTCTCTCCAAAGAAGACTTGGATGACCTCTGAAAAAATGTATCAGCTCTGTTAGTCAGCCAGCAGAGGTCTGTTCTTTATCAAATGTCTCTCCCAATTTAGCTGGAGCAAGACATTTCATTCAATTCATAAACTGCAGATTTAGAATAAGGTTGAACCCATTCAGCTGCTTTCATCTTCTGCAGTTTGTAGTGCTCCCTTGCTACTTACACAACTGCCAGGGTGACAGGGTTATTCCACCAAACTGCTCTCATGAGCATCACCCATGGGCCTATTGTGCTTCAAAGAATTATCACAGTCAAAATCAAGCCTGAACAATATTAGATTTTATACATTCATTTTCTATATGGATTTCTACTTCCCAGTGACCCTTTGTGTTCTACTTTGTGTCTTAGAAGGGCTAAAGGGGTCTCCTAATCCCTCATGCTGTGTGAATACTAAACAAAAGGAGAAGACCCACTTGCAGACATGAAGATTCATAAACAAAAAATTCAAACAGTTCAACTAATAGCTGACTGTTAAACAACAGTCCTCAAAAAGTGCAATTTGAAATCCAACTAAAGAGGCACAAGAGGTAACAAAGGAAACATAGAAAACATTGAGGTTGCACTCAAACCCACCAACTGTCATAATAGGTGACCTAACATTTCTTCTATCTAGACCAGTGTGTTTCTTTTGCAAAGTTCATGCAGTCTTCCACAGAAGAGTCACGTACTGTTGTTGTAGCGTTGTTTGTCAGCTGGTTCATAGAGGTTTGGTCATCTTAACTAAAGCAGCAGGACAGCCACTCCCCCTGTTGTCTGACGGTCTCAGGATTTATAGTGTATGTGTCAGCCCCTTAATCCAAGTTGACTGTCCTCTGGGCTCACGTCCTGATCTCCACTGCCTTTCTTATCCAGCGTTGGTATCTCTGATTGGATGATCTTGGTCTCTCCCCAATCCATGATGTGATTTTTTTCTCTTGCAGTGGTCTGAGATGGCTGATATATTTTTTTGGTCTGGCTTTTGTTTTGTTGCACGTGTGCATGGTCCAGATGTTTCTTTTTTGTGCTCTTTCTTCCATATGTCAAACATTTTGCCTGTTTTTCTGATTTATATTTTATTGCAGGAAAGGCGGGGAATTTTATGTTCCCAGTTTCATATATTGCATTCAGGTGGTCCGTAAGCTCTTGCATGTGTCCTGCTTTGACTTTCTCCTATATGTTATCCACATACCCTTTCCACCAAGAGTCCACTCTGACAGGGGGCTGTAGCTATGGCCTTTGCTTCTGTGTCTTTCATGAAGAAGCCACTCATATTTGCTGACAGTTGACCACCTACAGCAAATCCCTCCTTCTGTCAGTATTATTCCCTCTTATACTGGAAGTGTGTGGATTTGGCAACAAAATGCGCAAGTTAAGAAATATCTTCTGCTGTTAGTTTTGTTCATTTGTGTAGTGCCTCATCAGCCATGAAATACTGGTGATTTGTATGGTTGGAGCAAATGAACCTTTTTGGGCTGATGAGAACTTTGAGGTAAAATTCCTGTGCAGTATCCTTCTGACAGATGGTCAGTCACTAAAACTGATGTTTTCATTATGTATTTCACTTTTAACATTGCTGCTCCACCTCGAATGACAAATGACTGAATAAAAAAAGCCCTTGTCAAAACCCATTTAGTTTACTCAACATTACTGAAGATATTTGTTAGATATTGTGGACCTAGTACAGCTGTCTACACACCACTTGCATTGGGGGAGAAAAAAAGGAATAGTTTGGCAGATGGATTTCTTTAAAAATCTTTGCAGACATACATAACAACTGAGTTCAGAGCCTGTAGTTTTTAACTTTAATTTGCCACTATTTCCTTCACTCAAATAATCATATGGGATTAGGGTTAGGGTTAACTCATAGTGTAAACTTTGTCCTCATCACTCAAGGACAGAAGAGAGAGGCCAAGAATTATAGGAGGAGCAACCACAAGCAGGCCCTGGCAGATGAAAGCCTGTTGTAGCATCTGGTTATGCCTTGTATCTCAGCCAGCTATCATCCATTCAAGATGTAAAACCGTTATATTGTTCAGCACTCCTCAGGTCATATATAGAGGCATTGGTCAGGGTGTGCACTTTAATACATGGTAGACCATGCCAGAGACAGAGCAAACAAATAGATTAGACATTATAATACCATATCATACCATACCATATAATACCATAAGAAGCACCTAACTGTTCACACCTGTTTCTAATGTCTTCTCCTACTCTGTCCTTCTCAGTTTGGAAATCATCAAATATTCAAAAGTGGAATCCAGTCTTCCTCACTAAATACAATCTGGATGAGCATGGGAATACTGGTGAATTTGGAGGCATATTAAAGCCTCCAAATGTGGGGCTCTTCAGGCAGACAGAAAAAGTATGAAAATAATTTATTGCACACCAACAGGGTCCTCCTCACACTGTTAAGAGTTCAGGCCTCATCAAGCAGTAATTCCTGTATACACATGTGATGTGCTGCTTTCAGCCTGTGTCTTCAAAGTCTCCATTCTGTGTGACATTACATTTCCATAAACTAGGCACAGCTGCTGATGGTCTTTGTAGTCTGCAGTGGACATTAGCAATAATTAACTAATGAAACAACAGTACTTTTTTACTTATTTCAATTCATTGCAAGTTTTAACTTCGAACATACTGCACTTTTATTTTTTTTAAAACAGAGCAAAACAATGACATTGAAGAATTGAAACACACAACTCAGACTAAAATCATCAAGTCTATATTTTGGGAATGGAGTTGTAATAGTCAGATGAGAAAAAAACCTCTACAGTAAATATGCAAATAAAGACTTACAATTTGATGTTCACCACTAACATGCCAAAAATCCAACAACAACTCCTGTTTTTTACCCTGCAGTCCATTTTTTATGGGATTTGGCTAATTTTGACCATTTTATATGGTCAATATAAGACTCAGTAGTTTAATCTAACTCAACTAATAATAAAATTAACTCACACTAGAATTCAAAAAGACTTTCTGAAGTATTACATTTGATTTACAAACCTTACATGATAACCAGACATACATAATGCTTATGCTGTGATGATTAAGTTGCCAATAGATTTACTTATAACATTTGTTCCGTTGGGAAGGCATCCAAAAGACCATTTTATTGCATGCTTTCCATAAAGGCCGCCTGACGGGGCACTTTCTTTACACTGAAGAGCACTGACAAGCTTTAAGAGATCACATGCCCATGTTTTATCACCATAGGGACATCCAAAGAGGCACTACCAGGTTGTTTTAAAGCACAAGGACACCAGGGGGTAAAAGGGGGGTAAAAGGAGAAGGATTCTAGGGGCTCATGATTGACAGGGGCCAAGAGATGCCCCTAAGATAATTATTATACTGAAAAAAATTATCGCACTCAGTGATAAACTTACAGTTACACATATATTTTATATAGAATATATTGGTAACATTACGTTTATTTGTTTTGCAAAACATTTCTTAAGCCCCCCACCCCACTTTATGTTAAATGTATATCACACAGTATTAGCTCATATTACTGAAGAAAACTCTGGACATTTAGTATTTGTTTTAGTTAAATAATCAATGCAGGCAAATGTTTGGCAAGCTGCTATGCATATAGTCGGTTTCCCCCTCAGACACATTAAGAAGAGCAGCAGCTGTCTGTCAGCTGCCTGTTTTTTTTTTTTTTTTTCCAGGTAATTCTTCTTTAGAAAAAATCAAGTATTTGAAGGAAAAGATGGGTTTTTGGAATATAGAGTATCAGTGTTGAATCTAAATGAATTTAACTGTATTTTCAGTGCTTCCCCTACCAACTATCATGGTGTTCTTTTCACAAATACAGGAATGATAGTTAAATATATCATTAAAATGCAGTTTTATGAAAAATAATACTAAAGTTATGGGGGGGGGGGCAGTAAGATTTCTTTTCATGGGGCCCAAAATCCCTAGCTGCACCCCTGATCACACCCCTTGTCTACAACCCACAGGTAAAAACTGTTTCTTAATTAATTAGCCTGGTGCATATTCAGAAGCCCCTTCAGTAGGAAACCAAAAGCAGTCACTTGTCTTGCAAATTTTAAACCAAATCCAGCCTATGAAAGCAATTGTTAAGTAGTGTAGAGGGTTGAATCACTAAATGTCTGCTTTTAGATGATTTCACTACTTTTCCTATTTTACTTTTGACCCTTCAGAGTTAAGAACTCGTGTTAAAGAGACTCTCAATTGGAAATCTTCTCCATGTGTTTTCTTACCTGGATGACATCAGTGGTCCGGGTCTGGCCCTGACAGATCCAGCATCTCTTCACCTCTCCACGTTTCCAAGTAGCTGCCAGCGGAGCCTCATCCGCCTCCGTCTGCTCATTGGTGGCACAGGCCGCCCGTCACGCGGAGCCAGCTGCTGGGCATTCCCTATCCGCGTGCTCTGTCGGAAATGGCCGCCCGTTCCCGGTCCTCCATTGGACTGAGCCGCTGTCAGTCGGCCTCCCTACCGCTGCACTTCGTCCGCCTCTCCGGCTCTCCGTCTCCGTCATATTGGCTGCGAGAGGCAGCAGCGAGCACGGCTGTGAAGAAGACCCCCACCATGGTGAAGAACGGGCTCTCGCTGCGCTTTAAGAGTACTTTAGTCTATTAAATATATTTACTAGTATTTTACTAATTAATTTAAAAATAACCGGGATGACACCCTCCAGTATCCGCGTACCTTCAGCGCTTTCATCCGACACCGTGGTCCGCCAGGGGGATGTATGCCTGACTTCTCTTAATAGCCATTTTCTGCAGACAAAGAAAGCTTGTGAATAGAGCTTTCAAAGGCACACGGTAAGATATGAACTCCGGAAACACCCCTTTACACTTAAACATGTCATATTTGTCTTTATAGCATCTTTCAGCAGCCCGGTGACTCCGGATTTATTCTCGGTGATTTTTTGTGTCGATTTTCCTCTAAGCTAGCATGCTAACCCTGCTAGCTGCCTGGCTAGCCGAGGCTACTAACTCCCACTGTAGTGAATGCTAACCGTGAGCATTTCTGACAGCTCCAAAGCCTGACCCGCTAGTTAGCCTGTCAGCCTGTATTAGTTGAGAAAACGTAGCAAAAAAATTAGATTCGAACAAATATCGTCACCGGATTGAAGTAACTGCGCCATGGTGCCATCTTTAAAGCGAGCTAATGTTGTCTATATTAGTGGTGAATGGTTAACATGGTAGCAGGTCGGCTAACTCGGATGGGATCTAGGAAAGTGGGGCCTCCAGAAACCCAAAGGCCTTCCAACAATCTCTGTACACCAGCTGGAATAAGTCTATAGTTATGAGTCTTTATTTTACCAGTGGTTGTGAAACTTACCTGTGGTTTGTCGTGGTATTTCAGTATAACGGGACCTCGACTTCCACCTCAGTATGTTTGCTACAGCATTTTAAACCATGGAGGGTCGTGATAGTATAGAGATGGTTTCTACTTTAATGAGGTTTAGATATTCTTTACAGTGTCTTTGTGCAGAAGTTAAAGTAGATTTGATTTTGCTCACCATAGATAGGTATATTGTGTATTTAATTATGTGTCCGGGTGTGGTGCTTTCTGAATTATTACAAACTACACAAGTGTGCAATAACTATTTCAAACCACTAAATGAATTCACTGAGCAACTTAAATCTCCTGTGAAGAGTCGTTAACTAGTTATGAAACAGACTGATATGAGTATTTGTGTCTTTTTGGGATAGATAAAGCAAACAAACTATGAACAAGAAGGGTGATATGGCCAGTATAGTTACTTGTAATGTCTGAAAGCTAAACCTAAATTGAGGAGAAGGTGTCAGATCAAGCAATCAACTGCATATCGCTGGCATACATGAGATAAGATTGTCGATATCCAGTTCCTCAGATGAGCTTTAAGCATGCGGGGTATTTTGATAGTTTGGGGAAGTGTGATGGAAGAAACCTACACAATGAACACTTTGGCAATCAAGTGTGATCCATCACGACAGCTCTACCATTAATTCTTCCACATTTTCAATTTTTGTTGATATAATCAGATAGATGAATTCGTTTTTGAAGTTAGTGGGTGTTGGCGGTGTACTGGAGAAGTACCTAATATTTTAATCTCCTTACATTTGTTGTTAGAACACCTTTCAGTGTAACACACTCCAGTACACCACCACCATCCACTACCTCTTTAGTAATAAATAGACAGTATAAGAGTCCCTGTCTGATTATGTCAACCAAAACTGAACATTGAGAAGTTCAGTAATATTTGTGGTAAAGCTGTTGTATTGGACTACATTATATCGACCATTATATTCTTGCTGGTCGATGTGAATAGTTGGCTGTAGGAATATAGGTATGTGTTGAAGTTAAAATCGTGTCTTCATTGTCTTGAAGTCTTTTGGAAATAACTATTATAACTCGTAGAAGTGTTTTAAAATCCATGTGCTGTCTTTCAAGGTATTCACTGTAAAGACAAACCAAGTGTATTTGTATACCAAGCTTATATTCAAAACAGACAATTATGATAATGCAAGGACAACCTAGGAAGGTTTAAATAACTAATAAGAGCTTTTGTGGATTAAATGCAGTTTAGGAATTCCTTTTAGTTAATATCACTCGACTAATGTTAAAAACTTGCTCTCTGATCCGACTTGAAAGCAACTCCACTAATTTCAAACTATGATTTATTTCATTTTATGCTCTGAAGTAATGCAATATTAGGTTTAATCCGTCTAATTGTTGATTATTTTTTTTTTTTTTAAACAAAAGTAAATATTCTGCTCCTGTTATCGAGGACGACAAACCTTGTGTATTTAGCCAGTAAAACTTTCTATATGTGTTATGTGGTGAGGTTGAAATCAAAAGATTTAGTGTGAGTTATCAGTCATTCACAGACTCACTGTGGCTTTGTGCCATCCCACATATCCTACAGAATGCAAAACACAGCAAATATCTCATTAACTTTGGTCTGGTCTGGGTAGAGAGGGCGTCCTCCCTTAATTTTGTCTCCTCTCCAGCCCTCTCTTAGATCAGCGTGATCCCAGGAGGATGGGTGTGTTGGGCTGCTGAAGAGCACAAGTAGCCTAGTTCTGTTTCAGAACAGCTTTTTCATGGTTGTGGACTGGAGTACACCATTGGTGCAGACATTTTTATCAACTTTGACAGTCAAAGGGTAATATAGTATGACTTTCATTCCTTAAGCTTTTGCAGAATTAGCTGTTTGTTATCATGTTTCATAGACTGTCAGGGAAAGAACTGAACATGACTCAAGCTTTTACTTAGTACGAAATAGTTGGGTCTTCTTTCAGAGTGTTTACCTGCAAAAAAAAGGTCAACCATACTGAACAATTATCCATTTTGGACAGCTCCAAAAGTGTCTTTGATCTCTGATTCAGTACACACATTGCAGCCATATTTCTGGGATGTCACACCTAAAGTGGAAATGCTTTCACCATGTCCAACTGTTGAAGGTTAGGGGTTGACCAGGATTGTTTTTTTAAGGCTGTTAAAGATTATTAGCATTTCATCAGATTTTATATTTAAAAGACATATGCACTGACAGAAGAAGTGAAAAACTCTGTCAAAATTTGGAATATAAGATATTACAAACACCTACACAAAACTTTGTGCAAATGCCAAATCAATCCATATATTGAAAGTAACATTTTACCAGATACACTTACAGTACAGTTCGCTACACAGTTAAACGGGTGACTTCTGGCCAATCAGACAGTGTGTGTATGTATCTATGTATTTATTAATTTACATTGCCTTGAGGGAACCTTCCTAAAAGGATAAATCAAGTTGAATCTAATCTTATCTAATGTAATCTAGTGTTGTGGGTGGGACAGTAAGTGAGAAAAAGTCATGCAAGAAAACAGACCCAGAGGGAAAGACATACAGCTAATCAGCCTAATGCTCGTATTTACCTCTGTGATCAGCCAAGGTTGATAATTGGTCTGCCCCTATTAGAAGAAGTAAATCACAGCTAATATCTGTATTAGACATGATCCAAGAGGTACAAAGAATCACAATAGATAAACTCCACCATTGTTTGGCACATACATAATCTGCTGATAGATTGAAAATGTATCATATTATTTAAAAAACTTGCATTTATATCTATTTATATGTATATTAATGCAAGTTTTGATGAAATTTCCCCACAGAAAAGGGGCACAACGTGTCTATTTACTTAGTAGCCATAAACCAGCTTCTTGGTAGCGAACGGCTCTGTGACTCTTCTCCCCACTCTCACAGTGTCTCCGTATATTTTGAAAGTAACAGCAGGTGTTGCATGGTACAGTCAGAAGCTTTACACACAGTCTGCAGCAGTGCACAGCTGTACAATTTGTGGTGTTACTCAAAGTCTGCGATACAAAGCTGTTATTGGTTCTACAACTCAAGATATCATCCATAAAAACGTGCTATACAGGGTTTTGGTCGACTGACACAAAACATTCTGCAAAAGTAATCTGTGCAAAGATAGGATTCTTTCAGATTTTTCAGCTCTTAAAGGTGACCTGTGCATCATACCATCAAAAAAGAAGAAATAATGTGAATTTTGGGACATTAATAGGCTAAAATATGACAATACCTTTCAAGTCTTCATACTAACATGCATCCATCTTAAACTTGGCATGTTTTAAAGTGGCATCAGTGAGTCATGTTAGTCGTACATGTTGATAATCAGGCTGTGCATACATGTAAAAAAACACAGTTCTTTATCAGCCGCAAGCCAGGCTTTGTGAAACGGAGTGACAGTTTGGTGATGGCTCGGCATGTTTTTGTAACAACCAACCACAATCCAGCTTTTAATGACAATCACATCCCTGGTTATTGGAGTTGTGGCACTGTTTACACTGTTAAAGTTGAAGTTGTAACTCTTCATTCGTTGAGATGCGTTGTGAGTCATTGTGGCCGAAATATGCAGTCACAGACATGGCGAAGACAAGAGTAGAATAGTTCCAAGTAGGAATGTGAGTTGTATTAGTATTATCTGCAAATGATCTGATCTGATGGTGTGGAGGAGGGTAGAAAAAGTTTGAATCCTTTCACTCTCCTTTTGTGATTTCAGTGGCTGATCAATAGTGAAATGATGATACGGTATGATGATAAAATTCTGAAGGACAACATTTTCCCACCCTTTGAATTTTCCAGTCTCAGCATGATGTGAAATAAAAATGGCCACCCTGTAAATGAGGCGAATAAGAGGTACAGATACAGCCAAACTATGGAGAGCATGTGGCAGATAAGAGCTGTTGTAAATCATAAATGCCTGCTTCATTGAGGTCCTTTTTTTTCATGCTAGGTTAAAGTTCTGGATCCAGCAATTCATTATCAGTTGATTGTAAAGCTGTCAAGATGTCTTTGAGTCTATCATTAGTGAGCTTAAACCCACTTAATTAATTGGATGCCATTATTTAAATTGATTTAATTCAAAACAACACTGTCAGGACAATGTTATCGTCACATTAATTACAGATTTTTTCACATTTAGGTGTCTGCCTTTTCTCTAAGCCAGTGGTTCTCAAGTTCAATCCTCGAGGCCCACTGTGCTGCATGTTTTGGATTTTTCCCTGTACCAACACACCTGATTCAAATGATCAGCTCGTTATCAAGCTCGGTAATGGCTTACTAACGAGCTGATCATTTGAATCAGGTGTGTTGGAGCAGGGAAACATCCAAAACATGCATGACAGTGAGCCTCGAGGACTGGACTTGAGAACCTCTGGTTTAGGATACTCTTGCACTCTGTGACCAAGAGGTGAGGGCGCTAAATAATATTCAATTAATGCTATTACTGTCCAGCACTATGGGAGAGAGGGAGAATTCCACAGATAGACAAAGTCTGCAGAAAACTTTTACTTTCAGTCTTTGGGAGGATTTACAGTCTTGCTTCCTTTACTGCGCCAGACCTATCCTGATAAAGCAGTAACATTGCATCGGTGCTGTAATTGCTGTTAAAAATATAAACCCACCAAGTGTTGTCCTTGGAAAGAGAGTTTTTCATGAAAACATCGTCAGGCTCTGACCAGGGCTCGGGGCAGTGTGGAATATTGGGCTTAAGCTGCCGCTTCATTGTTAAATATGCTTGAAAAACCCTGCATTACTAGTCAACCACCAGTCACGGTATTTGCGTGTTTCAGAGAGAAAGAGGGGGAAAACGTTTTTAGCACAACTATTATATTTTACTTAACAAAAGGGCCCAAAGTTACTTATGTAGTAATTTTGAAGTTACACAGCTTAAATAACTGTCGCAAATGGTCACAACTTCTAGCCGTTGTGTATAACTTTGAGTAAAAATGTGTTTTTGTTTAGGTGTGGAAACAGATACAGGATTATGAGCAGTTTTTCCCAGATAAAATTGGCTTCAAGTTATATTGAGCTCTTGATGCTCATCTGATAAAACTTTGATTGTCTTGTAGGTTTGGGAGTTCAACCCAAATGATTGTACAAGGAATGAAGAAGAAAAGTTGCATGATATGAGCCCACTAAATGGAATCAAACCTGAATGATTTGACTCACTCTGCAGTTCAATGCAGGATGAAGAAATTAACCAAGAGATGTGCTGCAGTAGAAGCTGACGTTATTATATTAATTAACAAAGCTCCTAAAAGTCACTGGAACTCCACGTGATAAATTTAGGAAATTTACTCTGCATCAGTTACGACCACATGTAATGCGCATTAGTAGAAACTCAGATTTGTGTTGTAGGGAAGAGTTTGTGTCTTCAGGATCTCAATGAGTGTCTGGGACTTGACTTCGATCTTTCAAGAATAAGAACTTTATTTATCCCTGAAGGGAAATTCAATTGTCTGTCGTCTCATTTGTCATGTCTCTAGAAGTCATCTACTATTTATAGTAGAGTTATGAAGTCTGATGGCAGTGGGTACAAAAGATCTTCTGAATCTTTCTGTCCTGCAGTGAAAAGAGAGGATCCGTCCACCACCATTGGCCCTTTGGCCCATCACAGTGTTATGAAGTTGGTGATCCATGTTCTTTAGGATAGTCTCCACCTACCTTGGTGTAGATCTCTCCACTACATCCTCCACTGAGTCCAAATTGAATCCAGCCACAGAGCCAGCTTTTTTCACCAGTTTGTTAAGACTAGGGCCCGACCGATACAGGTTTTTTGGGGCCGATACCAATTGTTAGGGAGGAAATAATCCGATTACCGATTAATCGGATGGTTTTAAAAAAATTTAATAAAGTTTTAAAAAAGATTTAATTTTAAAACTTGATTAAATATGTAATATTCCACGTATTTATCATGAATCAAACTCAAATTATATAAGCTGTTAGAGTTAGAAGAGGTGACCCATACTGTGCTTTGACATTCAAGATTTGTCATTGTTAGGGAGGGGCGATAAATTTTCATTCACGATATATCATGAGAAAAATCCTCCATGATAAATATTTGCCATATCATGATAAATAGGATAAATGCAAGTTGATGACATAAGCGCAAGTGACAGACTCGCAGCCATAGCCCACACAGAGCAGAATAACAAATAAACATGGCTGAAGGTAATGAAGAAGAGGTTTCGGAGCAGCAGGTTACTGAACGAGGCTCCACATGAGGGATTTCCTTCAAGATTGGGGCTTAGATGAGAGCAATCAGGTATGCCTGACACCGGACAGTGGATCTGCTGCTGTTAACTCTGTGCAATAAGAGTTTTCAACAAATGTTTGAAATGTTTTCACATTTGAGACTTGATCGATGTCATAGGTTTTCTCCATAACCTACCACTCAATCTTGTGGTTGAGTATCTTATTTGACTTTTCCAACTGGTGTTCTCAAGATGAAATGAGTCAAAAATATAGATTGGAGTTATAATATATTTTTATTAGGACTTTCATTGTTATCGCCAGAATTGCAAAGTCTGTGGTTAATTTCATCAGGAGGAACATACCAAATGCTAATGGGAGTGTTGTCAGAGCACCCCCGTTTCACAGGTAACAGCATGTCTCAGAACACCCCCCTTGTTTTCACCGTTTTGGTGAAAGCCACTGATTAGTTGCATTTTGGTGGAAATTTCACGGTTTTAGTCGACCATTTCTTTGGTTGATTATAGCCCTAGTTCCTACACTGAAATAAAATTATCTAGACAGTTGAAATAAATAATCTTTGTTAAGGGTTTTGTGTAGCTCTGAAGCCAGGAGACGTATCAGATAATGAAAGCTCTGTATCAAACAGAGACACCTCATTCCTCTGATAATATTCAAGATGCCTACAGCCCTGATTATTCACTGAGCCCAAAGTTTTTGGATTTTAATTTATTCAAGATAAAACTGACTGGCATGATGTCAGTCCCTGGGACACCTGAAGTTCCTCTCGTAGTGTGTATCTGTGTCATAATCTGATGATCACAGAGCTCGAGACTCAAAGTTAAAGGTTTTCATACAATGAAAGATGTTGCTTTCTCTGAAGTGCTGTAAGACTGAATCTGGAATCATTTTCTTCCACCTGCAGCACTTTTCCTAACACCTTCTCCATTACCGCTGCATCTACTGGTGCATCCCAGAATATCCTGTTGTGTTTCGGGAGCACTATGCAATAATCAACATTTGATGCTTGCATACTGGAATGTCACACCTTTTTTTTTTTTTTTTTTTTTTTGCCTCTTTCACATTTTTGTAATTTAGTGCATCACATATCAGTCGGCATCATTGACACAATAAAAGTAAATTCAAAGAAAAAGTATAAATGTATTTATGTCACTTATTGGAGGAAGTGACTGAGTGTACCACTAAAAGGCTGTTACCACACTTACAAATGTTCTCCGAATAAATTAGTTAACCAGACCACTGGCTATAAATGCACTTTTACATGCCGGCGTGACTTATACTCCAGGATTTATGGTAATTAAGGGTGCAGCTTGTCTGTACCATAGACTGTATATAGAATGGACGCCATCTGCCTCCTCGCTGGGCGAAGCCACCACGAGAACAGCACCCTCAGGTGACGGGCTGCAGTATAGGTCATAAATCCCGCCTCCTCCAGCAATCCCTATGGAGCTGTGGACGAACTTTAGAAATTAACTACACAGAATATAAACTTTTCTCCCCCCTGCTTGCGATGTTGACATGTAGTTGCTGTAAGACTGGTTTGTGTTCAAGTCCTCTCTTTTCTGTACAACTCCATTTTCAAGTTATTAGGGGGTTCATGTTTTCTATGATTGACACTTGATACAGCCTATTGGGCGTACGAAGATTACGTAGCTCCCGGGGGATACGCCTTTTGAGCCGAGTGTCATTACATCAACTCTCCCGCTAAATGCGTACAATGCTACTCTGCAAGTTGTGGAGTGCGTACAACGCTACTGCGTCAGGAAGTGAAAAAAAAACACAGAATTACAGAGAGCTTTTCGGCTTCAAATCCGTATTCTGGCGGAACCAAGTTGTCCATATTATTTACAGTCTATTCTCTGTACCAAAAGGACAAAATTCAATGAGCAGATAAAAAAAGATAAGTTTAAGACCACACTATCAAAGGTATCTGTTTTGCCCTGAAAGACAGACATATCAGCATATAAAACATTAACACTGAAATCTATTAGAAATGTTATTCAGCAACACATTTTGTTGCTTGCTAGATAACTTGTGGTCACAGAAGCTAACCCTTAACAAAATGCTAAAGATTGATTTTAAAAGAAGGAAGGATGGAAGATGGAAATAAAAATCAGCTGTTTTCAAGTAAGTTTAGATCTGCACAAGCACCTAACATGATTTAAAGTGAAATTGACTTCAAATGGTTCATCAACCTTTTGATAAGCAGTGATGGCACAAAAGGCAGGTTAGTGTACTCTATGTGCTGTCTGTTAGAGGAATATGAAAAAGTCCAGATAACACACATCACTGTGTCAGACTTACTGTCAAAAAAGAGAAAAAGCAGGTTTGATACGATGTGAATATTCTTTCTTCCTCATGCTACATTTACTGCAGTCTGCTCTGTGGTTTTATCAAATGCCCTTTAGAGCACAGAGGAAGTCAACGGGGGTGGGGTGGCGGGGGGGGGTTACTAACGTCATGATTAAGTTAGCGGTGGCCTTGGAACGGCCCCCAGCTAATCATATTAATCAGTCATGTGCTGAAGACCGGTCTGGTTTCCTGTTCATCACAGAGCCATCACAGCTCACTGTGCAAATCAATAATGTCTTTATCAATGTTAAGAGGTTAGCGTCTCTCCACGCACAGGTCGGCAGGATGTTCTAGAGTCTGAGAGAAGACGACGGAAATGAGATCAACAGGAGTGAGGGGATGAAGGTAGCTTCAGTGGGGTGAACATGTATGCTTTTGTATGCCCATAGTTTGGTAAATAGTTCTTTCAATTAAAGGGGGACTTTGAAGATTTTCACCAGTACTTGATCATCTGAGTTAAATCTATGTTATAAAAAAGTTCAACTGTAGTCAAGTTTTCTGTTGTAGAGAAATAAAGTGAATGTGATGAGTCTGCACAGGCGCTGTAATACGTTTTAACATTGTTTAATAACAAAACACAAAGCTGCTCTACACTCTGTGGAAGAGGCATTTTACTCAGGATTTGCTGATCCACTTGTTTAGACTTTTATTACTGGTGTGGAGTATGTGGATGTAGAAATTCAGAAGAGTGAGGCTGAAGCTGTCACTTGTTGCATATGGTGCATCATGGCACACGTTACACTGCCACAGGGAACCGAGTTTTCACCTCCAGCTCCAACCCCCTGGAGCATATAGGAGATATGTTCCTTTTTATTCCTTTTTTCTTTTATTTACATAAAATTTCGTCATTTTGCGTGATATTCCGCATTTATATTGAATTCCGTTTTTAATGTCCAATTCCGTGATTCCTTCCGATTTTATAGGGCCCTACATTAAAATGTGTGGATGTTTCATCCTGAACAAAATTCTAACTAAAGGGCATATTAGTACAGAGACTTGAGACTATAACAAAATAGCTGCCAAAATTCACACTGGATTGGAGTGTTAACTGAAACTTAGCTCTCTGATGACCTGTGTCAGATAAATGAAACCCTGAATGACAGTCAAACAGTTTGTTGTGTTTTCGTCTCATTAGATTGATCTGAATTTGTTTGTTTGTTTAAAGTAGCTCATTATGTCTGTGCTTCATCACCATCCTGTGGTGAACTGGAATTTTGCTCTTCTTTGCTGCTCTGAAACAGTAGTTGTGTCTGGCAGACGGTGTTCATTGTAGTTTTAAAAGTGACTGTTTAACAGAGAAAGTGGCTGGTTTACAAAGACAGTTTTTTGTGTGTTTTTTGGCCTATTTTACCTGTTGTAATATTTTCTAGAGTACTCTTAAGTGGCAGATCTCATGTAGAAGGCTGTATCCGGGAGCCTTTCTGATATCAGAACAACTCTGATCCAAATGTTGTTTGTGTTTAACTCCCTTTTGGGACCAAGAAACTACAACATTTAGTGTTAAAAAGGTGCAAACGTGTAACATTTTCCATCATAAAAACCAAAGTGTAACAGGAGAGGAAATTCTGCTTTATAGAGTCTTTGTAGGTTTTGTGTTTTTTTTTTTTTAGGCCACCTACCTGCACTGACAGTAAAGTTCGAAGAATGCAGATGCAGTTTGATTCTACAACTTCCAAGTGCCTTTCAAACTGTGGCAGAGTAATAAATCATCAGCCTTTGTGGGTGTACATGTGGCCTGTCTGCTGCTGCTGCTGCTGCTGCTGCTGCTGCTGTTACAGGGAAAGTTTTCGGTCAGGTCTAGACTGGCTCTGTAATACAGTACATACCAGCAGATCAGCTGTGAGCAGATCCTGGGTTCATTTATAGCCGTGGCCTTGTGTCCCTGCATGTCTGCCTGGCAACTCCTCGCTCTGCTGCTCCAACTCCTCCAGCTCACCCACCTCTCAGACACTTTGGCCCCGTTACACTCTCATGTCTAATTACTAGATACGCAGCAGTCTGGGGAATTTAAATGTAGGACATTCTTTATGTAGCTGAAAAGGTGGGTGGGAGTTTCCTCCACCTCTAACCGTTTGTCTTCTCTTCTCTGCAGCTCCCCGGGGCTCCTATTAATGAAGAAAGTGGGCAACATGTGGAGCAACCTGAAGAGCAAATGTCAGACTCTGTTTCACACCAGCAACTCAGGACCCGGCGAGAGCAAGGCGGATGCCGATGCCGTCCACTGCGTGCTCGATCTTGGCCAAGGCGGCTCGGATGAGGCTCAGGCACCAGAGGTCCCCAGCCCGTCCCGTAGCCTCCTGCCAGTTCCTATGGTAACAGCAGGACGCCGCCATCACAACTGTGTGTCGGACATCCCTCAGATAGTCGAGATCACTATCGACAAGGACACTGAGGATGTGCGGGGAGGATCAGGGGGCGTTCCTCTCGCTCGCAGGGACTCTTATTCCCGTCATGCTCCATGGGGGGGGAAGAAAAAACATTCATGTTCCACAAAGACCCAGAGTTCGCTGGAGGCGGACAGGCGGTCAGGACGTTTACGGGGTAGCGGGAATCGCAGGGACCGGCGTTATGGGGTAGGCTCAATTCAGGAAATGAGTGACTCTGTTTCTGGCGGGCGCAGTCTAAACGCCCGCTCTCTGCGCCAGCGGCTGAGTGAAACAGTCGGGCTATGCCTACCTCTGCCCCCTCGCAGACGCTCCCGCTCGGCCAAGAACCCCGTCACTTCCAAACGTAAGATCCACCTCACAGAGCTGATGTTGGAGACCTGCCCCTTCCCACCGGGGTCAGACCTTGCACACAAGTGGCACCTGATCAAGCAGCACACGGCGCCGGTCAGCCCGCATTCCTCCACCGCCCTGCTCGATGCCTTTGACCCCGCCCACCCATCGCCCGAGGACGAAGAGGAGCGTCTGCGGGAGCGCCGCAGACTCAGCATCGAGGAAGGTGTGGACCCCCCACCCAACGCACAGATCCACACCCTGGAGGCCTCAGTGCCGGGCTCCTCTCTTTACAAACTGGGACCAAAGATGGCTCCTGGCATAGGGGAGGCCTCCGGGGAGGTCCGGGCCTCAGGGTCTGCCAGCTCTACAGGTGCTGGATCATCAGGGGCTTGTGGGTCCGTGTTGGGGGCCGCAGCGTCGTCCCAGGACTGTGACTCTGAGGAGGACTCGACCACCCTCTGTCTGCAGTCCAGGAGGCCCAAACAGAGGCACGCCTCAGGGGACGGACATCTGAGCCGACAGCAGCCTGGACCCTGGAAGGTCCACACCCAGATAGACTATATCCACTGCCTGGTGCCAGACTTGTGGCAGATCACAGCGCTGCCCTGCTACTGGGGAGTGATGGACCGCTATGAGGCCGAGGCGCTGCTGGACGGACGGCCAGAGGGCACCTTTCTGCTGCGCGACTCGGCCCAGGAGGTCTACCTCTTCTCCGTTAGCTTCCGCCGTTACAACCGTTCGCTGCACGCCCGCATCGAGCAGTGGAACCACAACTTCAGCTTCGACGCTCACGACCCGTGCGTTTTCCACTCTTCCACCGTCACAGGACTGCTGGAGCACTACAAAGACCCCAGCGCCTGCATGTTTTTTGAACCGCTGCTCACAGCGCCACTCAATCGGACTTTTCCTTTCGGCCTGCAGCACCTGGCTCGGGCTGCTATCTGCCGCTGGACCACTTATGACGGTATAGGCTCTCTGCCTCTGCCCCCTGCTCTGCAGGACTTCCTCAAGGAGTATCACTATAAACAGAAAGTACGAGTCCGCTGGCTGGAGAGGGAACCGCCACTCAAGGTCAAATAGGGTGGGCTTCTAGGTGCCTGCACACACGCTGCAGGAGGATTACACATCCTGAGGAGTTCCTCATTAGAGCTGTAGAGACATTACTCTCTGTCTGGTGGGGGATGAGATCTAAATGTAACAAGCTATACAAGATTCATTCTAATCTTTGTTTTAGTTATTACTTACATCACAGAAAATACATATGATTATATTCAGTATAACGCTGTCTGGCAAGCACATGTTTTTGTGTTGAACAGGTTGTTTTGACAGGGAAGGGAGGCACAAATATCAGAGCTTTGTGTCTCGACTCTCCTTCTTTGTGCTAAGTGTCTGCCTGATCCCACCACATCATCACCCGCCTGTACACCTGCCTGCATGCCTCCCTCTTCATCCCAAACTGCCATTAAGGCCCACACGGCTATTGTACAGTTCCCTCCGTGCTTTCCCCCCCCTTTTTTCTTTCCTCCTGAGTTTGTCGAAGCACCGAGCGGAGCACCTTCACAGGAGGTGCGCGTGGGTTGAGAGGGCATCTGGAGGTGCCGTCGATGTTATTGCAGTCACAGCTTGTCCCATGGATAGAGCTGCACACTTTTGCCATCTCTTTGCACACATGCAGCTGAGACGACAGATTCAGAGGGATCAGGACATCAGGGAAATGAAGTGCTTTGTAAGGGCTAATGATTGGTCCTTGAACATGAGTTCCTCTTTTTTGAGCAGTAATGTGACAGGTGATCGATCAGTTTACCGTGTTTGATTTAGAGGGCAAGCCAAACGTCAACTTTATTTCCTACTGTGTGGTGTTATCTCTAGACAGGGAGGGGAAGTGAGTGACACTCACAGGGACATTTGAGCAGCCTGGTGCCTTTTTCTAAAACACATCTCCCTTTAACCGGTATCTGTAGACTCATTTGATACACAAAAGCTTGGACTGTAGGAACCCCAGCCACAATTTATTGAGTTGTCTGTTAATAGTTGAGTCTATTAAATGTCCAAAAAAGCTGTGAAAAATGCTCACCTCAATGTCCAGCTAACAATCCAAAACCAGAAGATTCTCCATTCAGCCTTAAGTGACACAGAAAAGTAGAAACGCCTCATAGTAAAACACCACAAAAGGTGAGTGATAGATAATTCTACCTGTATAACAGCGAAAATAATCAACTAATGATCCAAAAAGTTCCAATAGTTGTCTCTCAAAAACGTATATTTCAAAAGATGCAGCTCTGGTTTGATTTTTTTAACCGTTCTGAAGTCATGAAACATTTCTTTCTGCCTCTCAGTATTTTCATCTGCCTCCAAATACTGATTTGGAGGTCCGAGATGTAACATATCATAGAAATTAACTTCTGACCTCCCCTGATTTAACACTTGTTCTAAATAAAAATCACATTTATTCCTGGAAGAAAAAAACTCATCAGCTATGGCGAGAAAGGAACCTGACATTTAGTTTGCCTGCATTTCCAGGTAAAGGTGCTACTTTGATTCCTTCAGTCTCAGTCAGGAAATCCTAATCCTGGTGCGGGACACTTGACATCTGAATTCTTAGAGCTCTGTGTGAACAAAGCCCTCACTGCCCATTTCTATAGTGGTAGTTAGAGCGTCAACTCAAGCTTACACTCACTTGAGTTATGTAATCTGACTGGTGTGTGTGTGTGTGCGTGCGTGTGTTAATGTGCAGGGCTGCGATATGAAAGACCCCAAGTCTGCTCACTTTTTGTCAGTTGAATCTATACTCTTGTTTCATTTGAGCATCGCAGGCGATCAACTTGACCAACTTAATCCTGAACTGCTCACAAAGTTGGAGCCAGTTAATCCCAAGAAGCGTTTACTTTCCAACATAACAGTGAACACCAGAAGAAAACTTTGAACGGCCCTGGATGAGGGGGGTTTTATGCGTGAAATGAGGGTCCCTCAGTGTTCTCCAGCAGGACTTTTGGGGCTTCTAGCTGAGGCAATGCATACTAATAAAACAGCTCAAGTTTAACCTACATCTAATCCTGTTGAATAATACTCCTGATTTAGATAATGGGACATGAAAAGTAAAACTCAAACATGCATCTGACAAACATCAAACTAACGTAAATCCAAAAAAGAAAAGTAAAGAGAAAAAAAACGCTTTACTGGAGGATAAAAATCCAAGTATGATTCAACTGACAAAATCTGCGCCCTGCACAGCCCAGCAGCTTATCGAGAAACAGGAGAAAATAAGCTAAACTTTGGTGCTTTTTCAAGAAAAACATTCATTCTGTTTCGGTGTGTAGTCTACAGCTGAAGCAGAAGGTGCTTATAACCCCATCAGTGAGACAAATAGACTATAAAGAGGAACCTCTTGGCTCAGTCACTGATGGTACAAATAAAAGTTTCTGTTCCTAATGAAATGTGCTGGTGCTATGATGGGTTAGTAACATTTTCAGGTGTATATTAGATCCACCTGTTGGCCGCATTATGGCCAGTGTGCTTCATTAGATTCATGGTCAGTTTCTTCTCAGCCCTTGAGTACAACATTTCAGAGTGAGGTCAAAAATGCTGTTCCTGCTTTCCAGTTAAAACTTTCAGCAGACTTAATGTATGCATGTAGAATACACATACAGAGTGGGCACTGTCAAAAAAAAAAGAAAAAAGGGACAGATTTCATAAATGCTACAAACAGGCGTTTTTATTTCTTTCATTTGAAAATATCTCATACTGATTTCTGCGGATGTTTACTTTGAAAAAAAAAAAACCTTTTTGCTACTTTTAAATAGGTGCTTGTGAATAAATATAACTAGCAGAGAATAATGGTGCCCTTCAACACTTGGAGAAAATACTAAATTGTTAAGTTTGCAGTCGAAAAAGTTGTAAAACTAAAAATTAAGCTGAAACAGGAAGAAGATTATGATCACAGCAGTTTCATCTCAAATTAGGTCCTCTCAGTTAGAATGAATCATGGTCATGAGTCTGAGCAGTATAAAGCTCAATAAAGCTTCATGTTAAGGTCAGACTGCTCTTTTTGCTGACCCTGTTTGTCACATGAAAGATGAAACCATGAATGTTTTTATTAGCTGGGTAGCGGATGTTCAAAGCGGACTGGTGTGAGAACTAAAAGGTGCTCTATCTCCATCTCTGTCCCAAAGTGATTGGGGAATCAAACATTTCTGGTGCTCAGATGCCCAAAAGGTGACCTGTCACCTGCATTTGCTCTCCAAAACCTTGAAGACAGCTGGTTTGTTTTAGCTTCTTGTTAGCGTTGTGTAAAGGAGAGGGAGTGTGAGACAGTCGGGGAATAAAGTTGACGTTTGATTTGCTTTTTTTGCACTTTTGTGTGTCAGGATTTCAATCAAACTATACATGTATTTACACCATCTGGCTCACTGTCACCTGTCTATCATGCTGCTGCCTAGCAACAGTATACACCTGTATTCAATGCCCCACCCCTCTCACAGGCTCTCATCACTGGGTAGTTTTACCCATAATTGCTTATATATTTCCACTGCTGCCACATCCCGAACACGAGGAGGTGAACTGAGGCCTGTCTGTCCAGATCTATTAGAGCGATGTTAACACCCAGGAGGAGGAGGAGGAGGAGGAGCACTGAGAGCTTACTGTTACTGCATTAACAGCACGCTCACAGAAAGGGGCGAGGGGTTTGTTGAAGTAAAAAGCACTTTAATTGTGAACTTGTGTTCTATGGTGCAGTGTGAGAGTATCAGGGCAGTGATTTCTGATGTTACGGCTCCTTTTTTCAGCAGCAGACGGGTTTGAAATGACAGCTGGGAAAAGTGTCAATTTCAAGCTTCAATTTGAAAGTGAATAAACTAGTTACGTCTGATTTGTTTGACAAAAATGCGTACTTTTGTGGGGATGTTTTTTTGAGACCTCTAGCCGCAAGAAAATTGAGACTACACCCACACTAATGCATTTGAGTTCAACAAGGGATTAACACACAGCTCCCTGTGTATTCAGGTCTGTTGGAGGCACTAAACTGAGATTTGTGGAGGTACTGCTGACCCCATAGCGGTCTTAAATTTGGGGGCTTGGTTTTAATGTATGCAGATTTAAATGTTTTAAGACAGTGGTTCGTAAGTCCAGTCCTGCATGTTTTGGATGTTTTCCTGCTCCAACACACCTGATTCAAATGATTAGCTCGTTAGTAAGCCATTACAGAGCTTGATAACGAGCTGATCATTTGAATCAGGTGTGTTGGAGCAGGAAAACATCCGAAACATGCAGGACAGTGGGCCTCTAGGACTGGATTGAGAACCACTGTTTCATTTTTTTTCTTCTCAGTGACGAATTTGAAATCTTGTTTCACTAAACAGCTACAGTATTTTATCGGCCGACAGTCTTGGTCCCTCTCTTCTATATTGGTGGTTTGCAATCAAAGCAATTTCGATCGTGGCACCACTTTTAAGATTGAATCTGTAGATTATATTAACTGTTAGGTAAGAAATTTAACCGAGATGTAAAGATACTCATCACAGCTCCACAATCTGATCTATCCCTCCAAGAAAGTTAGAATTAAGTCTTAAAATGGACCTGATATTCTTATCTGAGGGGACTTTTTTCTAAATTGCCACCCGTAGAGTAAAAATATTGGTGTGAATTTAGCGCTCAGATGTCTTTTTGGCTATTTTACCTCCACCTTGAAGACATTTTTCCCATTTTTCCCCAGCTGTCATCTCATACCCGAAATGCTGCTCTGGAAAGCCTGAACACACAGCGAGTCTGTCTGAATATTCCTGACAGCACTGTTTGTGTGTGATCTCATAGAGTACAGACGTGTGTGCTCGTTTAGAAAAAGTCCTAAAACATTTCACTGATGGTTAAGCTGCAGACTCGTTGCGCGCGTGTGTTTGTGTGTGTGATGTGTGTTAGTGTTTGGACAGAGCCACGCAGAGGGAGGGGATGCAGAGTCCACTGTGAGGGGTGATGACACTGACTCCTATGAACGATGCCTCTTTGCCACCCCCCACTTCCAGCCCACCCCCTCTTTATTCTCAGGCAGGCCCCGTTGTGAGGAGCGTCCTCTCAGCCCAGTTTTCCCCATGGGAAATATCTGACGTTAAGCGTAGCACACGTTTGCCATTTAACCTGTAGATTTAGGAGGGAAAAAAAAAACATAGTCTGTACGATGAGTGCTGATTTTATTCTTCTGTCTGGATCACACACACATTTATCGCTCGATCGCACCTCTCCTGACACCTGCACTACCCTCCCCTCACCCTAAACCAGAGGGGGTGCTATCATGGACCACATATAGCCAGCACCACCTCTCTGTGTTCCTCCCCCCCACAAAGAGAAGCAAAGAAGGTGTTTACATATTTATTCTGTGTTCTTAAAAAAAAAAACAACAACAGTGAATTAATCTATTTGACTTGATTTGGTTGTCATCGATGTGACATCATGTAGCTGCACTAAGAGCTGGAAACCACTGAGTCTGGTCTGAATGAAAGAATTCCCCCTGTCCATCTCTGTAATGGCTCACGGTTTCAGCTCTGAGGCTGACTCAGACTGCAGGAGTTTGAAAACATGAACAGGTTGAACAAAAGACAACATAATGTAAATCCTGGTTTTTAAAAAAAAAAGGTGTTTTTAGATGATCAGGTACAAGGACAATCACTTTTGATCCCATGTGATCTCTCCGGATGCTAACATACAGACTCCAAAGAGCCGTGGTGATGCTCTGAAGAGAAGAAAGGACAAAGTGATGTTTTGTGTCGACACAAAAAGGTATGATTGTGCCTGTTTCCTGTCACAGCAGCATGTTAGTCTCAGAGATTCGAGTACTGTTGCTGCAGCTCCACCTTCTCCTCCTCCTCTCTCTTGGATTGGCTGGCTTAGAAAGTTCTGTCATAATTATCCCAGTATTCAAACCTAACCCTCACCTCTGTTTGATATTACCAGAGCCGCTCTGGTGACTCTGCGAGATGGACTGGAGACTAAATATAGGCTCTTTGAAGCCCTCACATGATTACATAATCGAAGTCAAACACTGTTACTGATCAACCAACCGCACAAGAACCCTCCCCTAATTTTTTAAAGAGGGTCAAATCAGATAGAAATCGACCCAAAACTCCTGCAGTCTGAGCCCAAGAGGACAAACAAACAAAAAGATATTTTTGACTTTTTATTTCATGTTCCCATAGATATTTTAGAAAGCTGGGTTATATGCAAACAGAAAAAGATGTATGAAAGAAATTTTATTTTTCATTCTCCCTAATATGCAATGGAGTGTAGTGTAACAATGGTCACTTTAATGCTGTATGTGCACATTGGTTGCTGTCTGGATGTGGCTGCAGAGGCAGCAGGACTTGACAATGATGGAGCTAATGGTCATCACTCTGCAGCACAGCCGTGTTCCCAGACCGCCTTATTCGTTCTGACCAATCACAGGAGCCCTATTCAAAACCGCCGAGGCTGCAGCCACTGGCACGGGCCAAGCGATCTGCAGCCAGACGAACATTGCTGTTCCATTTTCCTCTGCTTTTTTTTTTTCTCCTTTCTTTTCTTTTCTTTTTCTTCTTCTGCTGTCAGGTAGGACTCGGAGCGTGTAAATGGCATAATCATGTTCACATTTCACCGTCTGTTTCTGTGTATCTGCTTCACCGTTCAAAGAGAAAAAAAAAAACAATGGTTTCCAGTATAACCTGTTCATTTTAAAGAGCCGTATGATGCGACACTTGTAGCTGTCACTCTTGGTGCTTGGCTTATGCTTCATTGTCTTAATATTCCAAATAAAACTGTTAAGTGTAATCCACACTGGCCCAGGATATAATATTGACTTTGTTTTTCTTGTTCATGCTCCAATTTCTTTTTGCAACATCGATGTGCGAATAATAGACAACAATGGTGTCTTTACCCAGTTGCTTTTTTATTCCAGTGAATTCAAGCCTGCCTCCATAACAGTGCACACATATTCTACTTAATGTCCCAAAAAAAAGCGCCCAGGGTACCAATGCTGATATTTCCTTTTCTCATCCCAGATGATTTGGATTTATATCTGCCTTGGCCCAAACTCAAGAACTCAAATTGTAGAAAATTCTCTGTGTAATAGTTTATAATGATTTACCTGCAGAATGCCGAGCCAGAAACACAAATTGCAAATCCCTCTGCCTCATTTCAAAGAATAAATATACTTTATACACATAATTATACATATTACAAAAATAGCAGTATTGGGGAACAACCAACTGTTTTTATTGGATAAACTGAAAAGGGGGAGAAAAGCTGCTCCTATCAGTCTAAAAGATAAACTCTGAAAAAAAAAGTGCTGCTCTTAAGTTATGTACTTTAGTATGCGAATCACACACCTTGTATGTATATTTTAATGAAGAGGGTAACAAAAGTATGTTTTTTTCACCCATTTTTATCCCTGAGAGGCCTCTACTACAGAGCAATTTAAAGGGATATCTCAGTTTTTTGTTGTTGTATGATTTGCATGCCACTGAAAGTGTGTAACCCACAGTCGAAGCTGGCTTGCTTGGCCCCATTAATGAGAAACTGCTGCAAGAACCAACAAGCAAACTGAGCTACAGTTTTGTGCAAAAAAAAGGTCAACTCCACCATGTAAATCAGCTAGTTTTGAGAAACTCCAACCCTTGTGCTCGTATCAGGTGAAATTCATGCTCTGCTGAGGAATCCTAGAGCTTTGCCATCAGAAAGCCTGTTCATTTTTGCTCAGCTGTGTGGTCTGCAGGCTTCAAAGAGACAGAATACCACCAAACTAAAGGATGAGGGATTTTTACAGCACTGATGACAGACATTGTAGACTCAGGTGGACAGAGCTGACCTGCTAAATACTTTCTAGCGACGTGTGACTCACACAGCCGTATTTAAAAAATACTGGAATATCCCTTTAAACACACTTAGGGTATCCTATAGTTTTCTGGCTATTGTTTGATCACATGATCCTTAAGTGTGACTGTTTCTCCGCTCCTAACCTTGTCTGGGTTGTCATGACTTGGATTGTACTTCCAAGTCAGACTGCCATCATCAGAAAAACCACAATAACCAATGAGAGGAGCAAACTGGGAAGCTTCAACAACAGGATGTAGAATACTGACCTCCAGCTCAGGCTGCAAAGCACATAAGCTGTTCATATATGGTATTCCCAGGCAGGATTTCATCCATATCCCTTTCTTTGTATTTTCTTTCTGATCACATGCCAGCTGATAATGTCGAATACTCTCAATGTTTGTCTTCTGGAGTCACATTTGATGATAAAAGTTTCTATTTTGCGTGAGGTAGGGTGGTCTCATGAAATTGTCCTGGTGTGTGTTTAGAGGTTTGTTGTGTTGAAATTCAATCAGACCCGTCCGTGTGTGTGTGAGTGTGTGGGAGGGGGGGTCTTATAAGTTAAAAACTGGTGAAGATCTGAAAGTCTCCTTGTCTGTGGCCAGCCTATGGTCAAGACTCTGATTGGTCAGTTGGTTGTTTCTTGTTTGTTTGTTTTTTTTGTTTCTTATTCCTGTGGAGGAGGTGTGGTGTTGAACACGAGTAACAATGGCATTAAAATCCTCTAAAAGTTACCCACCTGTTAAAGGGATATTCCGGTGTAAAATTAATATAGGGTAAACACACCATAACACTGAGTGAGACACCCCCTCGAAAGATAAATTTTGCTAACCGCTTGCTTCTCTCATTATACTAACTTCATCAACAGTATGGGGTCCCAGCCATAGTACTAGCCACCAAACATTTTTCTTAACTTTGCCTCATTTCTTTGGCAAAGAGACTAAACACAAC